TCTTCGCGACTAAGATCTTGAAGTCTTTTGGCGTCTCTGATCGGAGCGACCAATACATGACCGGCCAGTACTGGTCTGTGGTTGACAAACGCTATGGAGTGATCTGTCCTACAAAACACTTGACTTGCTTTAACAACAGCTGTCGGTCCAAATGCGAACGACTCCTCGCTATTACTGTCTGTTTTATGAACCAAATCAATGGCGGGAATGATATTCCCATAGAGATTGGGTCTTCTGTCGCTCCAAACGGGAAGCTTTTGTCTCACACTTTGCAAGAAATCCAAATCAATTTGTGCGACACAGAGGCCAATGCCATCACTGCACTGGCCAATGATGGCGCCCCACGGGTCCACCACCTAATCAGTTGTTTAAAATATAATATAAATTGACATTTCGTGAGTTAATCATATTTAATGCAAACCATTGCGTGTCCATAAGACGAGCGTTTCTTATTGTGGGCTCCGGTCTGAGCGGCGGCCACGACATAGCACTGCGTCTCTATAGCCCGGGCGCGAAGAAGTGACTCCCAGTGCGCTGAGCCGGTGGGCACTGTAAACGACGACGGATACTGACACAGACATCACTATTAGTATGCATTTCAATGCAACTCAACACTCATACTAACGGTTAGAATGTCTGCTCCAGACTTCGCCAACGATATGGCGAACTCAGCGAACCTCAAGTCATAACAGATCCCAAGACCTATATTACCGGCCGGTGTGGCGACGGGAGGCACCACTCGATCGCCACCCGTCGAGAACTCGGACTCCACGAGTCGGACCACTCCCGGGATCTCCAGATTAAACAAATGCACTTTTCTATAGACAGACACCACGGATCCGTTGTTGTCGATCATGAGGTGCGCATTGAATGCCTTTCCGTCGTCCGAATGAGTCTTTTTCTCGTGAAGACCTCCTAAAGAGAGCCAAACTTTGGTTTCTTTAGCTAATTGTTTGTATCTGGAAATAAGTGGTCCATCGATGGGTTCCGTGTTAGCCATGATATCCTTCTGTGTCTCGCATATCATGTCAAAGCATTCCGGAAGGAAAACTACTTCACATCCCATTCCCGAAGCCTTTCGGATCAGACTCTCAGCGGTCCTGAAGTTAAGGTCTTTGTCGGCGCCGACACTGAGCTGACAGACGCCCACCAAAGTCTTCTTGGGTTGGGAAGCGTTGGTTTCGGTCGACATTTTGGCCGATTGTCTGCAATCACTGCCACCTCTATATACCACTGAATCAAATGATCCCAAATGTAAACAACTCTTGCGATAAGTCTTGCAAACAGTTTGTGATAATAAACTCAACAAACGATTCATTCATTCAATGATTTGTAACTATTTTGCTGTAAATGAATGCAAACTTTGATTTTCAGTACTTTTACTCAATTATATACTTTTAAACCATTAGTTAAATTCACTTCAATTCAACTCAATTAACACAGACTTTTAAATTGACTTTTAAATGTTGTTTATATTTACGGAAATTAGTATATGAAGTGACAAATTAAACACATTTGAGTGACCCATCAATATAACTGATACCCGTATTACCGGTATTTACTGTACTTTTATAGCTATCATAAAGTGCCGGTCATTGAGTTACTGTATATCCTGCAGTAGCACTGAATCAAAACCCCACTCACATACAGTATAACACTATATGTGAACATTTTATGACTACATTTTCAGTATTTTCAAAATGTGATGTCAAATATTTAAATTGAGTATTAAATACAGTTTGAGATTATTTCACATTTTATATTCAGTTAAATTCAGTTTTTGTTTCAAATCTTATAACAGTAATTAGCTTTGGCTTAAATTCAAGCAAAATGTTTGTCAAAACACCAGAGTAAGTTATTTATTATTTGTATTGCTTTAAAATGATGTTTAATTTGATTGTAAGACCATTATTGAAATGACTATAGTCAATATATTCTGTACATTTTAATACATTGTATATAATTGATAATTTGTAATATAAATACCTTATACCAATATTGATTACCATACATTGATTATATAAGAAGATACAATAATGCTATGAATTAATAGCAGTTTTATAAACAATACGCCAAGTGACAAATTAAACACATTTGAGTGACCCATCAATATAACTGATACCCGTATTACCGGTATTTACTGTACTTTTATAGCTATCATAAAGTGCCGGTCATTGAGTTACTGTATATCCTGCAGTAGCATTCAATCAAAACCCCACTCACATACAGTATAACACTATATGTGAACATTTATGACTACATTCACAGTATTTTCAAAATGTGATGTCAAATATTTAAATTGAGTATTAAATACAGTTTGAGATTATTTCATATTTTATATTCAGTTAAATTCAGTTTTTGTTTCAAATCTTATAACAGTAACAGTAATTAGCTTTGGCTTAAATTCAAGCAAAATGTTTGTCAAAACACCAGAGTAAGTTATTTATTATTTGTATTGTTTTAAAATGATGTTTAATTTGATTGTAAGACCATTATTGAAATGACTATAGTCAATATATTCTGTACATTTTAATACATTGTATATAATTGATAATTTGTAATATAAATACCTTATACCAATATTGATTACCATACATTGATTATATAAGAAGATACAATAATGCTATGAATTAATAGCAGTTTTATAAACAATACGCCTATTTCGTGATATATTAATTACAATAATTATTAAAAGGTTATAATTAAAGATCAATAATGAAAAATCTGTGATAAGTTATGTATAGTTAAAAATATACTATTATTTGAGAGAGAGAGAGAGAGAGAGAGAGAGAGAGAGAGAGATACAGAAAAACTTTGAATTTGTAAAAATTTACTCAATTTTTCTAACTACCTTAGTAAGATTAAAATATTTATTTATTTAATTAAGTTTCAGTAATATGGTAATATATACATATTTTATCAAACATTCATCCAGCTATTTTCCTCATAGGACCACATTTTTTTGGGAAATACTGTATTACTGCAATACAGTACTTTATATCGGTATAAGAATTTCTAAAGCTACCGTATACTAAAATAAAATGTGTGTCTAAAATAAAACTAACTTGTAAGTTTATACTACCATAAATTAAAATATACAATATACTTATTATTTAAAATTGTACAGTATTTGTCATAATATGTGTTATCATATGATAATTATATTCGAATCTTTAACATACAGAATTACAATCAAATAACCAAGTATAATCACTGTACATATTTATACTGTATTCATACTTTATAAGATTATAAGATCTTGAGTTTAAATTGATGTCAATATTCTGAACTCCGGTTGTGGACTGCTTTTTAATACAATACCAAATAGAGTGTAGATTGTAGTCAATTTCTGTAAGCCAAACCCAGATATACCCTAACCTGCTATCCATCCAATTATCAGTACTGTATCTTTAAATCATCTCAAATAACAACTTTTCACTTACAGTATGTGAGCTTTTATCTCAAACTCACTTTATAACATGATTTTAAAGTCAAAACTCTATTTCATCAATACTTTCACTTTTATTCATTTCTTAATATTGTGAAGAATTTATAGAATAATTTTAATTTAATTTCTAAGAATACAATCTATTATTGTACTGATTTGGACACTGTATGTCTGTATGTGTATGAGTTATTATATTTTGAAGCCAAAAAACTATGAATTATTTATTTGAATAAATTTATTTAACTTTTGAACATCCCTTTGATTTCTAAAAATTCTTTTTAATCTTTTGATTAAATCCTGTTTTCAAACAATTATTTGAATTAAAAAATTATTTCCAAAGAATGTCTTCAAAGAGTGAATCTTGTTTTGAGCGGTTGTTTGACCTGAGGTTAGGTTTAATGTCTTCAACCGAATATGAGTTGAAGAGTCAAATACAGTGAAATGTTTGCACCCCTTAAGCATCCATCATATCTTAAGGCTCTATTATGTAAACTTTTTGTGTGATGTGAGTCTCTGTTTATATAATGAATACTTTGAGAAATAAAAATAAAATCAATCGTAAGATTGATAGTTGTTTGAGGTATAGGTTATTGAATTATGAGGTCTTGGGACTCAATGGGTTTGGAGTACAAACTACTCACTCGAGTCATTAGACTCACTCCACTCGTGAACACCGAACCCATTCTCTCTCTCTCTCTCTCTCTCTCTCTCTCTCTCTCTCCAAGTGTTGTGTGATTTTTATACAACAGTTTCATTCACATACATATTGATAGACAATCATTGCATTTTTATTCACACATTTTTTTAAATCTTTTTATTCCTATACAGTATTTCAAGTTTTTAAAATTTTATTTTGGTTTACAGATTAAGTGAAGCAATTGTCTTAATAAATGGCATCGATTTGACAAAATTTTCCAAATTTGTTATAAGAATTGTTGAAAAATTGGATCAAAATTATACCGAAATCTTTAATGAAGAAGAAGAAAATAAACTAAAATCTATTTTATCAGTAAATGATACGCAAAAAGTTAAACTAATTGTAAAGACAGTCCATTATATACTAAAACAAATTGTTTATCATTTAATGAAACCAAGAGTTATTGCTAAAGAGTTGACTGAATTAGGGTTAGATATGGAGAAAGTGGTAGTTTTTGGAGAGATTTGCAACAATTATACGCCAAAATTGATTGAAAATTTGAAAGACTCGTCGTTTGATATATCAAACCATCGATTATCTGACATCAATTGGAAACTTAAATTGTTAACAAACCAGAGCTGTAGTGATAACAAGAATGCCATTCCTTTAACACAATTGGATCTCACTTTGAAAGGCAAAGACGACTCCAAACAAAGTATTTCCATAGACTTTGATCGCCAAGAGTTGTGGAACTTATATGAGAACCTCGAAACAATTCAAACACAACTCGACTCACTTCACAAATAATACTGTATTTGTTTATTGTCTTTAAATTTGAAATTAAATAAAATTAATTTTATTGTAGAATAAAACTTTGTGTGTGTTGTGTTCATTTATTATAACATAAAAGCTGAAAAAGTGAGTGAAAGACAATTGAATGAAAAGACTGTCAGACACAGAGAATTTAAATCAAATCCACTTTAAACAAATAGATAAATCTTGAGATAAAAAAATATGAGAATTATGACAATGAGATAATTATGTATTTCTTCCTGAAATATGATTCAAATGCGAGACTTTCACCCGAAATGAAGTATTGAACTTGAATTCAAATTATAATCTTTGAGATGAAAGACAAGTCTTAGGAAAGGGAGGAATTGTATGAATAATATCTCGTCGAATGGCGTGAAATCAGAAATGGAAAGCATTCCTCACCCAAAGCGAGTTGAGTGGCCTTAACTCAAAACTATACTCATCCTCAGTTCAAAGGTGGGACGGCATCCCAAGTAATTGCACTTTCACTTCACTTTTTCCAATACGTTTGCCCAAACATTACCCGTATATATACCGCTAAAACTCTTGGATTCTTCATTTGTAGTCGTAATCCAGAGCCGAGTGATTGTCCAAACATTTCTAGCATTTAGAAAATGTTTAGAATATTGTTTGCAATCGTTTGCATTTCCCATAACCTATTGCTGTGCTTAGGCTGTACTGAACATGAAGTCGAAGGAAAAGGCGATACTTCCAACTCTGGTAAGTCTCTTAAACTGATTAACAGTTATTAAGTAACACTTATGTATTATTATTATTAGTTTGAATTAATCAATATTTTTAAATTGTCTTGATAGTTATTTTTAAAAATATTATTAATAGCTATAAAATTAAAGCTATAAATTTACAATTATGCTATAAAAGTTTATAAAACTATTTAAAAATATAAACGACCCTGATATTAAAGTAATGCAGTGAAGCAAAAATTAAAATTGTTTAATAATAATTATTAAAAATAATTTTTTACTGTACATAAACGAGTATACTAGTATATATAATACTATGTAGAATGATAAATGATTAAAATATACCTTTAAAAACTTTAACTTCTTTTAAGCAATAAACAACTTCTCATGACTTGATTTCCTCATAACATATAAGTTATAATATAGTGCAACACTTTATCCCAAATCTAGTATCAAATGACATGAAATTATTGTGTTATTACGGAAGTTGGTCTGTCTATCGACCCGGAGATGGCAAATATCCAGTTGAGGAAATCGATCCCTTCCTCTGCAGGTCACTCATCAAAACATTGCATTCAAATGAAATGAATAATAAAAAAGCAATAAATTTTAAAAATTGTCGAAATCTTACAGTCATTTGATATATGCTTTCGCGGGATTGGGTCACGACAACCGAATCCGACCGCTCGACCCCTACAATGATTTAAAAGAAAACTATGGAAAGGGAGCTTTCCTTAGATTTAATTCATTGAAAAATGTTAACAAAAATCTAAAGACTTTGATTGCGATCGGGGGCTGGAATGAAGGGTCCATCAAGTATTCAAATATGGCCGCAAAACCAGAGTCGAGACGAGTTTTTGTCGACAGTGTCGTCGAATTTATTGAAAAATACGGCTTCGATGGACTGGATCTGGATTGGGGTTTGTATTTATAGCCATTTATGATAATTTGTGGTATATTTACTTCAAATTCCTATCAAAGAGTATCCGGCGTCCAGAGGAGGCAAACCGGAAGATAAGCAAAACTTGGTGTCACTTCTTAGAGAACTAAAGGAGGCGTTCACTCCTCGCGGATATCTGTTAACCTCTGCCGTGTCAGCCGGCAAATGGTTTATAGAGCCCGCGTATGATATCGCAGCCGTCTCTCAGTCAGTGTCCTATCAGTTATGTATCCGACAGACAATTATTAATTGAATAAATTCTAATTCAGATATTTGGATCTCATTAACATAATGTGTTATGACTATCACGGGGGTTGGGAGAACAGAACCGGTAGGTCTTATCATATATTCTCATTTGACCATCAATTTAATAAACCAAATTCCCAGGACATAACGCTCCACTCTATGCCCGTCCCGACGAGATTCTTAACGATAAGATATCAAATGTGGTTTGTATTCAATATTTCAAACCAATAGAATATTCTTCACAAATAAACATTTCTCTCAATTATAAACAATTTTCAGAATTTTTCGATCAACTATTGGATATCAAAGGGCGCCCCAAGGAATAAGATAATACTGGGAATGGGAACATACGGCCGATCATTCACTTTACAAAGAGCTGAAGACAATGGGTTGGGCGCATCGGCACCACAGAAGGGACAGGCGGGACCCTATACTAGAGAAGCCGGTTCTCTGGGATACAATGAAGTCTGCAATTTTAAAACACTGTTATAGCATAGAATTAATGAATATATTCTCGTGAAACAGATTTGTGAAATGAAACAAAATCGTAACCAATGGACTGAAGTTAGAGATCGCTATCATATGGCGCCGTATGCTTATAGAGACAGACAATGGGTTGGATACGACGACATCGAGAGTATTTCACTCAAAGCCCAGTATATCAAAGCCATGCAATTGGCCGGAGGTATGATCTGGTCCATTGAAACTGACGATTTCAAAGGTAATTCACACTTAAATCAATATACAGCACAGTATTCACTAAATAGTGGTTTTAATTATTAAGGAAAATGTGGTGAAAAGTATCCACTTTTGAATGCAATCAATAAAGTATTCAAAAGTGATTCAGTGGTTATGCCACTCCCACCCCCTCCAGAACCTGATGCTAAACCTGTCAGTCATACAACTACCACAACCACAACTGCCAAGCCTTGGGTTTGGGCTCAATCATCGACGACTGGATCCACCAACTCATGGTCGACACCCTCATCAGGCATAACGTGGTGGCCCAGACCCTCATCCACACCATCATCGACGTGGTGGCCAAAGCCTTCTGTCAGCTCATCCATATGGTGGTCGTCGACGCCCGTGTCATCGCCTTCGAGTTCGTGGTCGTGGGCGCCAACACATCCGGTCCATAGCTCAACCGTTACGAAGGCTGAGGAAATGACATCCCCGTCCACTCCTTCAAAAGTGTCGACACCGGGTCATGAGGTGGAGGATGAGCCGAACTCCAACCCCAACCCCAATCCTAACCCCAACCCAAGTCCAAACCCCAACCCCAACCCCATCCCAACCCCGGACACCTTTAGCTGTCCCGGACTCGGAATATTCAAACACGAGAAGGACTGCCAAAAGTTCTATCGATGTATTCCCACACAAATGGAAGGCAAATATAAGCCATACGACTACACCTGTCCCGCAAAGACGGTGTTTAATCCAAAGACAAGCCTCTGTGATTGGGTCGAGAATGTGCCCGAATGTATGAAACGAGTTCCCAACAGTTTCTTCAGATTTCACAACTCATACATTCAGTCTTAAATAGGTCTCAAATAACCATTTTCTCAATCATTTATTTCATTTATATTAAAATATGGAAAATTGGGATTTTGTGTAATTAACAATAAATTCATAAAAACATTAAATTATATATTATAAAAAGACAAAAATATTTGACTTAAGTATAGACTTAGATAACTTTTACAAGTTATCAAACATGATAATAAATTTAAAAATTAAGTTAAATTATATAAATTACTAGATATTAAGACTATAAGATATGTCGAATTAAAGGCAATCCATGTTTCAGATCTGATTATTGGCACAAAGCGTTGGTTCGTAAGGCAGACAGTTGTCATAATTTAAGGAATTTATTCTGATTGATGTATTTGGCTAACTGTGGGACAGACCCTAAACTGGTTAACTTTGTTCCCAAACACATCTCATACTGTATTGATGTCAATGAATGATCGCAATGAATGTCGTGATAAATATGGACTAATTGGTGATCAATACTACGAAATATAGTAAAACTGCTTTGAATGATGCGATCGTATAGATTGACGTCTTCCATACCCCAGCCATGAATGGATACATTAAAACCTCCCACTGTTTGCAGATCACAGTTATATATGGAGAGAATTCCGAACCCAAATTGTCTCCAATAACCCCTGTCTTCATATATGTCTCGGTTGTTGAGATTATTTTCAGTAGAAAATTGTGGACTGTATTGACTAAAAATAATTGGGAAATAGATTTGTTTGGTTTGAATAGTGTTAAGACGGACGCGAGCAATGACTTCATCAGTGAAATGCATGTCGACGTCCAGAAACAGGAGCAAAGAGTCCTTCGAGAACATGGCTGACCCTCTCTGAAGGGCAGCGGCGCGTGAGAAGAAGCCGCCCAATTGGCCCACTCTTACATCAATGCCTGACTTCTGGACCTCATTTAGGATAGCATTGGTTTGGTTTAGACTTTGGGCTGAATCGGGGAACAGGACGACCGCTAAACTTATGTATTTGTCTTTGGTTTGCACTTCTTTGAAGTTCTCGACAAATCTCTGAAAGGCTTCTATTCTTCCGGAGAGAGGAACTATTATATTGACTACTTGTGAAGACTCATAGCTTTCAGTCTCTCTGATCTGTATCTGAGAAAATGTTTGGACGGCATATGCGTGTCGGCGCACAGGTATTGTCATTTTGCGACCCCTATAGCGCCTGTAAACCATCAGTAAATCGAGAATATATTCTATACCTACCATTGGGTCGACTCTCATGTATCCATAAAAGAGATTCTTGTATTCCATGGTTCGACCCTTTTGTTTGGAGCGTCTGTTTATTAATGACATAATGTCTTGAATATTGTTATCAATGGATCTCGAGATATGACTTTCGACGTGTCTTTTGGGGTTTATATTGGTCGCCGAATAGAGATTATGTGATATGAAATCCCAAGGAATATATGAGTCTCTCTTGGAGAGTGAGTTAAAATCAATGGATTGTCCTAAAAGTGATGATTTTGAATACTTTTGATTCAAATTATTGAGAAATTCATCGACAGATATGTTAAGTAGATGTGATGTCTTAAACACCATTCGATACAATTGATTCAATTTATGCCTCAACTTCTGGTGCTCTTTGTTCTGGAAGTACAGGTGAAGAGCTTTCATAGTGTCCGGCCTTTTGATGGGATGAACTGTAATGGCTTTCGACAACTGTTTGGAACTAATGGTCTCGGCTTTGATGGACTCTTCGTGTGACGAGTTGTGATGAAATATTTTCTGCATTTCATAACTCCAAGTGCAGGGAATACCGGCCGACCGGCGCACACACCGTCCGATCTCCACGTCTTCGTGGGTGGAGTACAGGTGTTTGAGACAGTAGTGAATGTTTTTGGACAACAGCTCGAGTGTGGCTCTACTGACCACCACTCCGGGCCCTCCCATACAGAAGTTCTCGTCCGAGTCGAGGCTCAGTCGTCCGAATTCCTCTTTGTTCCCAACGCCCGCCTGACCGATGAATTGAGGTCTACTGCTGTTCACCGAACGCAGGAACCGCTCCAACCGATCGGTGTTGATGTAGACGTCGTCGTCGGCTCTCATGAAGTACTCGAATTTGTCGAGGAAGTGGTCACTCATGAACTTAAACATGAGAAACGACTTCTTTTGGGGCGGATACGAGTCATCGACAGTCGGCAGTGGGACCAGAGGTATGCCATACGAAGACCTTGAGTGATAACAAGCAAATAATGGGTAAATTGTTATCCAAAGCAACAAATGATTGGTCACTACTTGGAAGAAGAGCTCGAGAAGAAGATGATGTTTCCGTTGAGACTTTGAGCCCATGTCTTGTAAATAGATAGGGCTCTGGAGTCGAGATATTTCTGAGCCGTCATCACTCCAATCAAAATCAAGTTGTGCTCAGAATTGCGGTCAACAACCGATTGGATCAACTGATCCAACGCTTCGCTCTTGAGATCCCAATGTCTGTCGCTATGCAAGGAATGGGTGGACTGTTGCGAGCAAAAGGGTGTTTCCCTCCACTGATACCTAAAAGTGGTTAATTGGGAACAAATGCTGAAACCGATCACAAGTCCACACAAGTAATGGATGCCATTTGTGGACAAGTGTTTGCTCTTATGCTTCAAGTCATTCATTTGATCCACGATTGGCCTCAAAGTACCACTAAATGCAGTCAACGGTAACACAACTGTAAGCCTATGAAGCGATTGAAGAGAAACTGTTTATTTGTTTATCAAAAAGTTTTTGTCAAAAAGCCTTTCGCTATAAATATTTCCTAATGTTTATTATTTTAGCAAATGTTGTGTTCATTAAGGTGCACAATGAATCGATTGATTCAATATTGGATTAACAAATGATAAATATGTTTCAAAATAACGTCAAATAAAAATTAAAAAAACTTTTTTATTCAAACATTTTTATGTGAAATACAGTAACAATTGAATTGATATTTCATTTCTCAAGTGTTTGTTATGTTTGTCGTGTGTATTGTAGAGGTATTTAAATTTATAGCCTCAATCACGTTACACATTACACATGCGGTGAGGGGGAGGTTTACAATAGGATTAGTGTTGAGGGGTTCATACGATTGCGAGAATAAGTCATAGAGTTTGTGATGGTTTCTGATGAGCGAAAGAGTTGTCAAACGATTGCAGTATTGAGTGAATGAGTGCTTCACTTATGACAACATCTGCTGTAATCAGTGTTTGAGATAACGATACCAGAGATTAGCCATTGTTTGTCTCACAACAAGTCATCACTCGATTACGTCTTCAACTCAAGAGCCTATATAGTGATAGCTGTGGACATCAGTCATGTCTGGCTTTAATGACAACCCATTCGGGGATCCGTTTTCGGTATGGATTAGATTCACTGTTAACTGAATAGTATAATAAATGCAATGATTTGGTGACACAAGGATCCGGCCATCACTTCGGCCACCAATAGACCCGCTGTTAATGGAGACTCAGGTCTTGAGGACTACAATCCATTCGCTAATCAAACCACCAAACCATCAAATGTATGACTCATTGCTTCCATATATACTCAATGAATGGTAACTAACGAGTGGTGATTCACACTGTTATCAGTCGATCAGAGGCGCCACAAACCCTCCCCTCACGAGTCAGGAGCCGGCGGTGATCAACACGTCGTCGTTGGGACCCAACAACAAGTCCTACGCCTCCCCTCCCGCTTACACTCCGTCAGCCGCACAGACGGTAAGCATAGATGAGATTCAGAGACAAAAGGAAGAATTGGATCGAAAAGAGGCGGAACTGGCGGCCAGAGAGGAGAGACTCCGAATGGACGGCATAACCATGAAGAAGGAGAACAATTGGCCGCCACTGCCGTCCTTCTGTCCCCTCACCCCCTGTTTCTATCACGACATCAACGTTGAGATTCCCGTTGAGTTCCAGAGACTCGTTCGCCACGTTTACTACCTCTGGATGTGTAAGAAGTGACTCTTTTTTTCTCTTATGATCACTGAATTGAAAGTATCAATTGAAACCAATGTCTAAATGCTATGAATACGGGTATAGTTTATGTGGGCGTTCTGTTTGTGAACCTATTGGGAGGACTGGCGGCTATGATCGAGAAGATCGATGGCGGCGGAGGAATATTTGCCTTCTCTTTGGTGTCACTGATTATATTCACTCCGCTTTCGTTTGTCTGTTGGTTTAGACCTCTCTATAAGGCGTTCAGGTATTAATGGATACTAAATAAACAAATGGTTATCAGTTGATGTAAATATTTAATTGACATTTAATTGATCCGTTTATTCACTACAGAAACGATAGTTCTTTCAATTTTATGGTCTTCTTCTTCGTATTCTTCTGTCAATTGGTTTTCGCTATCCTTTGCGCGATTGGTATTCCAGGCATGGGTTCTATGTATGTATTGTTTTGTTAATTCATTCAAACGTTTCACTGTTTTATTAATCAATGATTTGGCAAAATATTTGATAATTGATTTGGCATCAAATGAATCAAACTTTTAGTGGAATATTAAGAGCATTGCTTATAATAAGTGAAAAGACAGATAATGTAGGCTTCGTTGTCGGCATTTTCTTCATATTCATTGGCATTCTATGGACACTATTATCATTCGCTTCTTGTTATGTCTTAATGAAGGTATTACTGAGACCTTCGCTCATTATAGTGGACCGGAAAGGAGTTTCAAACAATTGTGGCCCTTTTTCTCTTGTTTTCATTTTTTGTTTTATAACCAAATGAATAGAATTTATAATTTGTTGAAATTATATTTTGTTTTGTTTTGTTTGTTATGAACAGTGGTTTAATTGTGGCGATTGAGTGGAGTTCTGGAGCGCCTGTATTCTTCACTATATTTATATTCTTGTGCGCAATAGTGACGGCCAGCTATGCTTTGGCCTCCTTTTTGGTCTTAGTTAAGGTCCGGACAATGCAAACACTGACCCTTTTGTGTCACTTCTAATGCAATTCAATAAACAATAGGTTCACAGTATCTACCGGTCGACGGGCGCCAGTATGCAAAAGGCGCAGATGGAGTTCACCCAAGGAGTGCTGCGTAACGAACACGTACAACACGCGGCCACCGCTGCGGCTACCGGTGCCGCCCGACAGGCCATGAGTCAACAGTTTGGATCCAATAATACCAATAACTCGAGTGGTGGTTCTGGTCTAAGATATTGATATCGCTTTGATAAGATACCGCAATTCATTTCACAGGTGAGCTCTCACACCATTGTTGCACACCTTCCTTATTGTTACCTCTTTTATCAGTCAGAATCAAGTTTCAGAAGACATTCCCCTTATTTAAGACAATAATTCGGGAATTATTATCTATTTTTAATGTCTATTATTGTTCGATGAGTTAAATCAAACCATTCAGTATATACAGCCTTTGTTTGGACTTAAAACCTATAATTTTCAATACATTTAAATTACTCTTTTTTAATAAGTTGCAAGTTTTTGTTCAAATCTTATTAAAACATCTAATTTGGTCTAAATATATACTGTATTTTATCTCATTCTATAACTTCTGTCAATTATATTACCGAATAAAAATTAAATATTTATTGTTAATTATAAACATGTTTTACATTTATATTAATTTAATGAATCGTTTGATAAAAAATTGTTATCAAAAATTGAACCGTTTTGACGACAACTGTTGAATGACTAAAAACTTCATTTCTTAGAGATTGAAGTGACGTTCAAAAGTACGAGCGCTTTGTTAGTGCAATGAAATGTCATTATATTATGGATTTCATTCATTTGAGTGCTTTGTTTGGACTTCGGGTCAGATATGGCGAGAGTGTGATCGGGAAGAAGTAAACCCAATATAACGGCTGTAGTTCTACTCAGTTTCGCAACATTTGTCTGGATGTGGGGGAAGAAGACGTGTAAATCAAACGGATCGATGAATGTCTCACATCTTTGTAATAAGTCTTGAATTTTGTTCATTTCGTTGCCTTTGATGGACTCGTCGCGAGTCGTTCCCAAAAATTGCTTAAAGAATAAGAGATCGAAATACAGTTGTAAAGCAATCACTTGTTTTATGCTTTTCGGGTACTCATTGGTGGACAAGCAGTCGCAGGCATTGCCATACACTTGAGTCAATTGTTGACTTAGAGCGGACAGTATGTCGATGACTACTACCCGAGGGATAGTATGTCCAGTGAGACGATTGATTTCATTAGACAATTGAGTGAAATTGTTGTGAAGGAAAGATGACATCTGAAGGGGAACTTCTATCTTAGAAGTGACTTCCTTTCCCTCGTCAGACATTTCTGTGGTCTGAATGCTATCCCAAACCGAAGAGTTGTGTATAAAAGCATTCAAATCGGTTAAAGAATCGCCGTTTGTATTGACAAACAATTGTTTGATTTTTAAGTCAAATAATTTCTTATAGGAATTATAGGAATACGATAGCAATAAGTCTTTAGTTTTAGACCACGAATACTGTCTATTAGGCGAAGAACTTTCAAAGCATTGTCTCAAATGAGGACAGGTATGCGTTATTTGACGGAAGAACTGTGCGCTAAATAATATGATCTCTTTATTATCGGATTCAAAGAGATTTTTCATGTCTTCTATAATCTTATGGCAGACATCCATTAAATGTGTTTCAATTGCTTCCAAATCATTGCTTTGGATTAATTTGAAGTTAAAATCCTTAATCACTTTCATGTCATTCAACAAGTATTGCAATGAATGGTCTAAATCTGAACAAAAGACATCAATAATCGGGTTCTGAGCCAAAGCTTTCTTTGACAGACTTGATGACCGGTTTTCTGAGTCAATCCAAATGAAGTCAAGTACTTCCAAGTCTTCGTATGCAAGACTTTTGTTAACAATATCCTCGAACTTATCTTCAAACGATTTTAACGTTTTGTTCATATTATCGCTAATAATGTAATTAATTCTATGAATTACATGACCAATGATAAAGTGGTCCCAAACGGGCAAATAGCTGGTCATCAGATCTTCGCAATAGTCGACCCAATCATTGAGTTTTTGAGATTTTCTTAAATATTCGTTGGTTTCGTTCAAAGCAACACAAATGCTATTCACGGAATCAATCGATTGAAACATTTTTGTTAAAAGCGGTTCAATAGATGCCTTCATATCCGACATCCAGTCTTTAGTATTGCTTTTAATCATCTCATTGTCAATGACTTCGATATTAGTTTTTGGACTTATTTTAAAATCAATTAAACCGGACGTCAGTTCATTCGTTAAGTTCTTAGTCTTAAGAAAAGTGGATTCAAAGCTCATTTTAGTCATTCGTTCGTATCTTTGATGCAATAATGTCTTAGATTTGGATCCGCTGTTCGTGAAGAACACCGAATGAATGCATTTAATTGTATTGAATAACAAATTCATGAAATTATGTAAAATCTCTCTAAAGTGGTGGTTCTCATCAAAACAGTCTCTTATATGAGACTTTCGTTTCTCAAGAATTGATAGAAAGACACGTTTGGGAGACATGTCTTGCAAGAGAAGTAAACAGCAAAATATGTCCGCATTTACCGACTCGTCGTAAATATCCATTAATGAACTCTTTTTGTCGAAATGCCAGCACTTCTTGACAATCACTTCATTGAATCTATTGATTGCTGTCTTGTATTGCTTTAATAGGTTTGGAGTTTCGTTCCGAGGAACCAATTGTTCAAAGAGTTCACACAAATGTTGTCCATAAAAGTAGTCATAAGTGGCGCGTAAAAGGTCTTCGTTCTCAAGAGATGTCCAAATCTGTTGAAAACATGAGACAATTTTTAAGTCAATGTCAAATCCATGAGTGAATCCAAGAGATCTTACATTTAATGGCATTTCGATCACAAGTTTCAAAATGAGTCCACATTTATATCTCATGACTGAATCGACATTTCTTTGGAAGTGCTGTCCGTCAGAACCATTAATCCTCTCATAAGAGCTCTTATTGGTGGCCAACAAGTGGTTGGACTGTCTTTTGGTGAGTGTCTGCAGAGAGTTGAGCACATAATCCACACTTTGGTTCATCTGTTTGATGGTATCGACCGCTTCAATGAGATCCCCATATCGTTCACTACAAGACATATCAATGAGTACTACTGGCCATCAAAGACCACAAACAGACAGATCTCATACCCGACTAATTGTTTGAGTTCTTGTTTCTTGCGGTCGATGTCTGTCTTGAGTTTGTTTTGAATGTCTATGATTTCACTGATAGTGAACTTCTCGAGCAAATAATCCACATTTGTTTGACTCGTTTCAGACATGCTTTCCAAATAGGATTAACCAAATGCGTGACAATTGTCTCAAAACAAACTCATGTGAAGACCTCTTCAGTAAACAACAAATCACTGCAACGATTGACAACTCATTGCATCTGATTGTGAGCCAAACATATAAGTCGTTACCATTCACTGCATTGCAACACTAATCTCACCCCTAATGTGAGTCACGTTATGATTGACTCATTCAATAAATACCGCATATTTTAGCGCTTTTTATAAACTAATTAATTTTACTCTCATTATAAATAGTGTATATAAACTTTTTATTAGAATTATATAAAATAAATATATATTAAAATTGATAAAATAATGATACAATCGATTAAATATGATAACGATTAGAGCACTTAAACTCTTTGACAAATCCGGGGCCGAACTCATAGTATTCTTCTTTAGTGACAAACTGGTCGGCAAAGTGTTGAGCGGAGTCTCTCTCTCCCCGCCAACTGTCCAGTGATACGTCGTCTGGCATTCAAATGAGATCTCATTAAAGACTAAATGAAAGAGTGGTTACAAATGGATGTCTCACTGGCTTTGATGACAGAGAGCGGCGATCCAAAGGGTCGGATGGCTGTCACGTCCGTCTCTATTCGCTCGACAATGCCCTCAATGTTAGCGCAGCCGCCGGTTATGAAGATTGTCTGCAATGACAGCAAAGGATTGAAAGTCTCATTAAATGAGAAATAAATAGAGTATTCAATACTTGACTGATTTCTGGATTATCTAATTGTTTGACCACTTCCTCGATGGCTTCACTGATACCGCACTGATTGTAGTGAATGAGAGCATTGGGTGAGAAGAGGAGTTCGGGCACTCGAATGAGTTCCGATCCAAACTCAATGACATTGTCTCCCATTCCCAGACGTTTGAGTCGTTTGGACTCGAGTTCGTATTCCCTCAACAGTTCGTTCAAAATCCACGCGTTTTCACCCATTTTATTGGTTCGCAATTGTCTTATGTATGAAATCCATTGCAATTCATCGTAATTGTTCTGCTTTTGCCACTCATTTATCTCATCGATTACTGTCATCTCTGGCACTGATTTTGGATTCAATTGTGTCTTCATTTGTTTGATTTCTGCGCTCAATTCACTCAATTTGCTCCGCAATTCATTCAAATTCTTGACTCCTGTGTTCTGGTATGCCTTCTGTGGTATCAATGCATACATTGCTTAAGACATCGCAGAAGATATCATAGATGTGAAGACTCACCGCAACCAATGCCGGGTCCGCCATCTCCTCGTCCTCAACCAATTCGAGCAAAGCTTTCAATTGATTTCGGTTGTCCTCCCATTCTATAAGCTTTGGATCACATTATACCACAAATTATGCCAAATGTCAGCTCATAGTCTCGATTAAGATATACCTGTTTCTCGCGTTTCTTAACCAAACTTGTCTTCACTTTCTTAAGCAATCGTTCAGTTCTTTGCTCGAACTTCTCAGTAGCGGTGGGTTGAGAGGTGTCTGAACCGACACTTTTGGTCGCTTTGAATCGTTTGACATATTGATTGAAATACAAGTCATGACTCCATTGAGAACTATCCGATTGATAATCACTTGAGAAGCGACAGAACTTCTGAACGATTTGCTCACATTTGGTGAACGAGAACTCACTCATGAGTTTGGGATACTTTAATTGCATTAATCGCTGCAAATATAGGCTTAGATTAAGTCCTCCCAAATTGATTCGTGTCGAGCGCTCACAACAAACGGTTCCGTCCATTACGACCACAACATGACACGTGTAGTGACCCAAACAGATCACCAAACAGTTCCTGATGTCCGCTAAGTTGTGGTACAGACTGAAGAGCGCGTCGACGCCCAACAGAAGAGAGGGAATGCCATAGCATTCAAAGAGCAACTCCTGAGCGTTAGTTCGCGACCAAAGAGGGACACAAAAGGCTTCGTTTAAGACAACGGGATGTTCCACACGATTGGTATCAATGGACAGACAATGGAAGATGTAGTCGAATATGGTTTCCATGGAATCGAATTGAGTGCAGACATCGAACTCGAAGGGCGACCGCAGGACCCGTTTGACGGCCTCGATGTCCACGATATCATTGCCCACCAAAACGTGTGAATCCTTTTTGGCTCTTTGTTTCGATATAAGGCTCCGGAAGATGAGGGGAGGCGTCGAAGAGGTGGCGAACCCCACCCGCGACCTATAGGCGCCCCAATCGATGAGCACCGGTATGTTTGTGTTGCGGTACGTGTCGTACTCAATGTCCGGCAATGGGATCAACTCCTGGTCTCCCATCCACTCCAATGACTCCATCCCTGTCCTCCTGTCCTGAACTGACAGTCACTCACTGTCTCTCACATTGTTTACAAACATAGGAGTCGTTCACAAACAACAGCCCAACCAATGGTGTGATAGGAATGTGACGATTGGGTCAATGGATCACTGGATCAATGGATCACTTCTTCACACAAACTCTCATTATTTGAAGATTTGATGTTTCGTTGACACAAATCTATAAATTATACAAACATTGAATGGACAGGTTATTCACATTATCATATCATAGTAATGTGGTATTGGGTTTAGTTTTCAACTAGCTAAACTTTATGATATAAGAATAAATAAGTTATGAAATAAGTGGACTAAGATGCAATGTAAGGTCTAGCTCAGATTAATTCACTAGACTAGTTCAATTTGTTTATGAATACCACTGATAGGATTAATGACCCTATCAATTACGCTTGATTAATTACGCTTATCCACGAGTAATTACGCTACGTAAAAGGCAGAATACCCACAAGTAGTGTTATATTATAATCTCAATCATTGTCGCATTTTAAAGAATATTCTCAATTTGTTTCATTTTTCTTATTATGCAATGAAAGCAAATAAGTTCATTATGAACTGTCATCATTTGACCACATCTATGAATTAAATGCTCTCAACTGCTATCATAAATAATAAATAAATACTTTTATTTAGTTAATAACACAATACTTTGCTAAATACAGTATAAGTATTTTAATAATTTATAATAAAATAATAAAATCTTAAAACTTTGGTTATTAGGGAACTAATTGATAAGAAGTGATTAAATATTGATATCGTTTTGAAACATTTTGATGAGAAGCAAATCCACGCCTTTCTTCTCTTTGATGATAATTCTTAGTCCGGAATAATTGAATGAAAGACAATAATCAGAGAATTCTTGTGTCGTTTGTTGACAGCTGTTGTCAATAAAGTCGTGATCGGCGTCTAACAAGTCATTGAGGTTATTGTATTTGTCGGGACTAACCACCGATGGTTCTGGAGATTTGTTGAGACAATTCACGCCCAACTGCTCCAATCGTAACTGAAATTCCGTTTTCTTGAGTTTGTTTTCAGTCAAATCCATGTACTCTAGTATGAAGGCCTCCAACACGAATGCTGTGAATATATTGAGCACAAGAATCACACAAATCAAGTGAAATGAGACGAAATAAATTCGCGTTAACTTTGTTTCTGTGACCAACTCTTGGGTTTTGGCCAAAACATGCCATTCATTCACAACCATTAAGTCGAATAAGAATAGCATAGCGTTTGGAAATGAATTGAAATTAATGGTACAATAGTTTGCATTCGAGGTCTCATTCTTTGTATAGCAATGACTTGAATTGGTTTTTGTATTGTTTGATAAGTGAGAGAATAATCGCATTCCTATAATAGCGTAACAGTAATAAACTACAAATAATAAGCCGATATAAGTGGAAATGGATGGGATTATAGTCATTACGGTTTTTACAATAATCTTAAATCGCTTTATAGTTGTTATTATTTTGCAAAGTCTTAAAACCCGAAGAATTAATAATAAATCCAAGTATTGTTCCAATTCTTGATTCATATTCCGTTTGAATGCTATTATTAGAGACAGAATGAGAGCCATTCCGATGACTATTGAATCAAAAATATTCCAAAACTTATGAATAAATAATATGAATCCAAACGTGTACAGTTTTGCAAGTATTTCAAATGTGAACAATAAAAGTAATGTCCATTCAAGGTAAATGTAGTCAAAATTAATAGCAATAAGTATAGTATTTATCAAAATAAGTGAATCAAAAAAGTTGCGAAAATATTTGGTTTTGACTGCAATTCTAAAAAGTGTGGACATTTTGCTCAGATATAAGGATTTGAGATATTTCTCAAAAATGGTTTCATTTTGTGCTTTTGAAATGATTGTGATCTCAAAGTTTAGTAATTCTAATATTTGACAAAAATTATTCTCAGGTATGAATTGATTGGTTTCAAGTATAGACCAATAAATTGCAATCAATGCTGAACGATGTGCCGGCTCACTGCCAGTCACTTCCAATACAATTTGCATCAATTCATTGAATTCGTTGACATTAATACCAGAATTGTCTAGTTTTCCATTCGTTTGTTTGGATATTTCGTGATCTTTTGTTATTAAACCAAAAGCTCTCAACAAATTTTGTCGCTTTAGTGCCAATAAATTCTTAACTTCTGTCTGAAATTATTAATTATATTATTAAATGTATGAATAATAGTATTAATGAAAAATTACTTTTAAGTGCTTTTTGTAATTGTTGTAAATGACGGCCAAAATGATATTCATAAAAAGATAGAGATTTATAATCAGAAAAATGACGAAATAAAGTGCAAACCAACGACTCTTGTTATAAGAGGCCATCCTTTGGGGGAATCCATTGATTAATAGTTATAATTAATGTCTTCACAAGATTTCAATTCATTAGACTTACATAATATCCGGATTGTTAGCAGTGGTCACTGTATTGATTTTGAGAGAATTTAGGAATTTAAGGAATTTCAAAATAGTAATTTAGTGAATAATAATTACCTAGAACATATAAATTAAAGATAACATCGAAGAAATCAGAGAAGTATTTATTGTCGGAAAATTCATTGGACACAATCGATTGCTTTTCAAATAGTTTTAATCCAATAATTGAAAACGTGAGGATTGATAGGAAGAATAGGATCAATACATTGAGGACATCGGGTAATGTGTTTCTGATATTTCTGAAGGTTCTCCTAATCTTTTTAATTACAAATTATAAATACAAATATATGTGAATACAGTATCATTTAAATGTAATTAATAATTATTAAGTAAACAATTAAAACCTCTTTGTTTTCGGCGAAGTTTATAATGAAGAGAGGCCTCAGTACTGGTGTCCATCGGATGTAATGGTTGACAGAAAAGCTGACAATTATATCACAGAAAGTGATGAGAGTTGTGGCGACGACTATCACATTCTTCTTGTCCGACCAAAACACCGATGAAGGCGTCAACACAAATAAGTGACACAAACGAGTCGTGTATATCAGAAGACATATTATCTCCAAACTATTAATCCAAAGGTAATTGCGATCGGATGTGCTCTCAAACAACACCAATAAGTGGTGTAAAGTTATAGTCAAATACAGCAAATACTGACAAAACCAGTGGCGATACAGAAGATATAGTTTGACATTAATGTAATCCATTGAAGAAGTCAACAACAGAAGTCCATCTTTGGCGTCGACTACCAGTGCGGCCGACATTAAAAACTTTTGGCTCTTAGAGGAGCTCTCAATCACTCCGTTCTCAATGGCAGTCGACATACCGTTGTCAGCAACCGATTGATCGCTACCTTCAGCCATTCAGACGACCACTTATTTACAAATATTTTCAATATTTGAATCCAAAATTGTGACCAAAAGTGATTGCAATTACGTAACGAAGTGTAAAACAACTCCCACTTTCAGGTCAAACGGGTTCACAAATTGTTAAAACTTTATTTCACTCATAATTCCTATGCATTCAGCTCTGAATAAGTGAATGCATTTGGTTCTCAATGACTCGTATATCAAATGAATTCAGTCGACTCAAAAACTTGAAACTTGTCCGACAACTTATTTTAATAGTTTTCAACTTTTATTTAAACCGTTCAATTGTTTCATGTTTTATATCAAATTCTTTGTACCGTACAATACCATTTTCTATGTAATTTTTAAAAATCATTTTTAACAATACCTATAGGCAATCGTTTTGTAACAAAAATAACACATTTAATTGTTTAGTTTTGATTTATTTCATATGAATTAATAAAATAAAAGAGTTACTTTAGCACATTTAATAGAAAACAATTCATTAAAAATACGGCAAATTATAATGTATTTATTGGTTATTTATAAAAACCATAATTTAAAGTTTGTATTACATGTCATTAAAAAATTCAGATTTATTGTCATTTTTGAGTTTTTTGTCAATTTTATTATACTTAAAAACCCTCAAAATGTTATCATTTGTTGCGGCGATTTGTTTGGTTATTTGGTTCACATCAAGACTTTCAATACCAGACACACAGTTAGCAATCTCTGCGATCACTTTATTTGGCTGAACACTGACTGCACGCAGTTTACCATCAGAAGATCCGACCACAAGAGTCTCTTCGTCCAAGAGTTCTATGCAATCAATACTACACATCCCCTGACCTCGTGTGGTGTTACCTCTAATGGGGAACCGGTCGCTGATATTTCCCCACTGGTCCACATTGAAGATGTTGAGAGCGCCGTCTTCAGCGCCGACTGCTGTCTTGCCTTTGCTTTCCATAAAGCGAATCGATTGGAAGCCGGCGTCGAAGAGTTCGGACTGCAGTTCCATACGTTTGGCCCTAATATTGAAGGCCGAGAGAGTCCCGTCTCCAGACGCGGCCACAACTGTCCGCTTCGACTCATTGATGTCTAAATCACTGATATATTCGTCACACTCTTTGATCTCCATATAAACGCCGCGATCCGTCCGGTAGTCAAACCCTTTGAAGACTCCGTTGTCGTCGCCGATACACAACAGATAGTTGTCTGCAATGAGTAGCGAATAGATCTTTTGCCCGCAATTATCTATTTTTCTGACCACTTGTCCTGTATTTAAATCCATGAGTTTAATACTCTTGGCGGCGCTCACCAGCATCTGGTCGCTCGCGAACCGCACTTTCCTCACAGGACTTCCCTTGTGGTGACGCTTCAGATCCATTACCACGTTATTTGTCTCACCGTTCAAATCAATCCTATAATTCAAATGCATTCAGTGATCACTAGCAAACAGATCCGTGACTAAGACATACAGTTTCACGTGACCCTCGATGGTGCTGATGGCAACGATGTGGTGCTTTGTCGGATGAAATTGAGTGTCAAATATCATGTCACTGTCTTCTATAGACAACTCCTTCACCGAATCAAAAATGAATGCCATTTTGGGACCAAATGTCTTGAAATAACACGCGATTCAAAGACAACAACAATTTCAGTGCAAATGAAAGCAATGTTTTGAACACATGTTATGAGCCATACGTTTGTCACGTGGTCTGCGATCAACGCAAACAAACGCTAGAGTTTTGACAATTCATGTCTTCATCGCATTTGTGACCAATTTGGTGATCATTACGAGTGAAACGAGAAGACCTGAGAAGATAATGCCTCTGATAGTGATGTGCGGAATACCATTGAGTGGTAAAACATATCAAACAAATCGTCTGAAAGAGTATTTTGAAGAGAAACACAATTTGAAGCCAATTATCATCTCTTCGGACACGAAGTTAAAGGAAATCAAAAGAAATGTCTTATTCGGCGATTCAAAGATGGAAAGGGAGTTAAGAGGTTGGCTTAAGTCGGAGGTCGAGAGGCATTTGGTGGCCGACAATCTGGTGGTATTGGATGCAAACAATTACATCAAAGGCTTTCGATATGAACTGTACTGCAGTTCCAAAGAGAGAAAGACAACCCATTGTGTGATCGAAGTGGTGGTCACTGACGAAGACATCGCTTGGAAACGAAACATAGACTCAGCCGAAGATCCGTCACTCGACTCTTACGACAGACAGACTTTCGATGCTTTGGTGCAGCGCTACGAAAAGCCACAGACGACCAGCCGATGGGATTCACCGCTCTTTGTCATCGATGGCTCTTCGCATGACATGCCATTCGATGACATCAATGCAGCCCTCTATCAAAGACAGGCCCCCAAACCCAATCTGTCCACACAATCACCCGCTTTGAGTTCAACTAATTGTTTGTATGAATTGGACTCAAAGACACAGCAAGTGGTGAGAGATGTCCACAAATGTATACAAAGCGGACAACTGAAGAATATAGTGATTCCCGATTCGAGACAAACACTAAACCTGAATAAAAGCCTTTCGGCGGCAGAACTGAATAAAATGAGACGACTTTTCATAAGTTATACGAAACTTCATCCCATTTCTGACGACCAAATGATTGGCACTCTTTTCGTTCAATTCATTAATAAAAGTGTTTAAAATAACATTCATTTTATTGATTTCCATATAATTTATATAATAATTATTTACTTTTTAAAAATGATATATACTTTTAAGCATTGAATGATTGGCTTTAAAAAAATTAATCTTATAATGGAAACAATGGGTAAAATAAAGTATTTGTTAGACATCTTTGATGTGGTCTTCATTATCGGACAAACAAATAGATTCAACAAAACTATCCCATTGTTGAGCGTTGGACTCGAGTTCGGCTAACGTAGTGGTCAGCTCTGACAGGTCTCCCATCGAGTCGGCGCCACTGCCCGTGAATGCAGGCGTCGGTCCGTTGAAGAAGGAGCCCAACTCGTGGTCCTCTTCGCAAGCGAACGGCGCCTTCAGTTCGACGAATACGAAGGAATCGCCTGAAGAGGAATAGATGGGCGACGATGTCATGCTGTTCTCGATGACGCTCTTCGTGGGGATGACTATTGGATCTGATTTTTGTGGAACTTTTAGCAATGATATCCTCTTTGAACTGTCAATTGTATCTTCATTTGGTAATAGATTACTGAACGGCGCCTCAGGTATGAGTATTAGATGTTCCGCGTCTGCAATGAGAATGAAGTTGTGTTTAAGTATTAATGCATTTATAAGTCATATATTTGTCTCAAAATACTGTTATCCGTTGTGGCGAAGGCGGCCATCAATGGTTTCGAGGGATCCCTTTCCTCAATAGTCTTAAGTCTCTCCTCTTTCTTGAAGTGATCGCTCTTCAGAGGAAGCAATTGAGGGCTTTTGGGGATAGAAGTGATGTTTGTAGTGATGTTATCATTGAATGTTTTGGAACCGATTGTCAAATCAGTTCGATATATGAATGACACGAAGAGTTCATTGAAAGCACTTCTAATGGATCCCAACTGTTTGGCGGACGAGAAGTGTTGGGCTTCTTCTTCGGAAGCGAAGACATTGGTGTCGGAATCGCATCGATAGACCCGATAGCAGATGACATAAGAGTCGGGACTTTGACCCCTTTGGCTGAGTTTGTAGGCGGGGGTGGCTCTCGTCACTGATATCAATGACTTCAACATTAAACTCATTTTGTTGTATATGTTGTATATTATAAGCGTCGGTGAGTTGGCGGAGGGCTGGCGTTGTGTCGGCGATGAGCTCTCGTTACCCGACGCGTCGCTCATCTCATTGGTCACGAACCAGTACTCCAGAGTCATTGAGTTGCCATCACTCGTCTTCAGCGATATCTCGCAGCATATCTTCCAATCGCTTTTAATGGTCATCAGCGAAGTGTTGGTCTGCTTCTGATGGCAGTCCAGATCGCATCCAATCGACTCCAAGCACTTCCGCGTCTGTTCGTTGATGTCTTTGATGTCATTGATGGCCAAATTGAACCAATCGTTGCCTCTGTTGTTGGACTCGGTTTTGATGCGTTGGGACCCAAGTCTTGACTGAACGATCACTTGCACGCACTTCAGCACGAAATGGCGCACAAACTTCTCCAAGTCTTTCACTGACATCTCCATCAACACCACCACTGAACGAAAAGATTATCACCGATTCACTGCATCAATTGGTCACCTATTGGTCCACAATGGCGTCAATCACTACAACCACAACACAAATGAATGACAAGTAATTGGATTTGAAATGAAGACAATGTCTTATAGTCTGGCATTCAGTCAATCAGTGAACGGTTACATGATTTGAGACTTCAATCAAAACAATTCAATCATATGTTTACTCACACTATAGCAGACATTAGACGTACAGTAGACCACACTTTCTCTCATCCCTCTCCTACCCATCCCTTCCCACCCAACCCTATGACATGACTTTTATTATTAATTAATTGGATTAAATTGTCCTTTATTTGTCTTAAATAATGTTTGAGATTATTGTTTATAATTTTCCACATAATGAATATTTATATAAATTATTATGTATTTTATTAATAGTAAAAGGGATATAACAAGAGCCCAACCCATGGGAGGGTATGGTTAAGGCTCTAGTATTGAGAGTAAAAGTCATGCGCTTTCACTGGATTTGTATTTCTCAGAAAACAATCCAAACAAATGTATTAATAGTTGCAATAGTTTTGTATTCAGTTGTCATCCAATCAATGAATCCATCACTTGATTGAGTGTCACTCGACTCAACCAAAGGTCATATTGAATGTGGAGATAGTAGTGACTGAAATGGGGAGCAACTGGTTGTGGCCGTCGAGGGCGATGCCGTACCGACCCGTCAACGACAACATAGCGGACAACTCGATAACGTTGGCCTTCCCTGTGGTGACCGTAGTGGTGGTATTGCTGCCATTGGTGGCACTCGTGGTGTGTATCATGTGGTCACTGGTGTACGACTTCGAGATCTCCACATCGACCCACTGTGGGGTCAATAACTGGTTGCCGTCCATAAGTGCGGCCATCGGGTCGTTCGCCCCCCAGAAGTACATCTGGCGACTGGCCATTAGCTTGCATTCACTGCCGCGATATGTCATTGCATTCATGTATTACAACAGATATGGCTCGAGGGCTGTGTTTGTCTTGAATATCCTAGAAATCAGTTCCCTATTGGGTCTCACGTATGTCTCGTCCACCGAAAACTTCCGTAAGTTTTCAATCAATGAATCGCTGATTAACTCATTCATGCTTTTCACCACCGATTGAATAGCATTTCACTCGAATTGTTTCCAATTGTTCCTGATATCAGCTTTCGTTGGAATGGGTTTACATTTAATTAAATATAGAAAAAGCGTTTTTAAGAAATACATGGCCCTAACAAACGTCATCTCCGGTGCGTTTGCCGTATATTTCTATTTCAGACACAACTGGCACTGCGAGGCAGGCATTTACACCTTGTTTGCCATTTGCGAGTATTTAGTCGTCTTAAGCAATATATTGTTTCACTTTCAAGCCTTCTATGACTTCTCGCAAACCATTGTCTCCATTACTGATCGAAGATATCATTCAATCAATTATTCTGCTTAACACTCGACACAACTCTTGTTATAGATTTAAATTTATATTATTTGTTACATTAGGAGATCTCACAACTAATTATTAAATTAAAATTATGTCATTAAAAACTTAGTTATTTTTATTTTCAATTTTATCAAAATATATCAAATATTATGAAATTCTTAGTCTAAGAATTTGCATTTTGTCACGATTTGTACTTCAAATGTCATAAAAATACAAACATTTAGTGAACACATCTATGCAGTCAAGCACCAGTCGTATGCATTCCTGAACATCTTAGTCCAAGGACTCACTTTCAGAGATTTCCATTTACTGGGAACGTAAGGCCATTGCCATAAGAAGGTACACCTCTCAGGATGAGGCATAAGTGCTGTCCGTCAGACCAAATATAGTGTCAATTAATCCATATTAATGCCAATTCCTAATATATAAGTGTTTCATACCTAAGTGTCTACCATCGAGACTACTAATTCCAGCGATTCCTAAAGCACTTCCACTGGGATTCATAGGATATCTATTTTTAAAGTACCAGTATTCATTTAGTATTGATATTGAAAATTAACTTATAAGTAGCGAATCAATACTCAAGGGTTGGGTTGTTGTGGTCGTCCACATAACGCAAAGCAATGCAATTGTTGGCCTCAATTGCTTGGAGTGTCTGTTCGTTAATATAAGCGAACTTTCCCTCTCCGTTTGAGACCCAAACCCCCATAACTGATGTTTGCATGTCTTTAAACATAATGGCATTTGTCTTGTCCTCGATTCTCACCGAAACGAAACGGCTCTCAAATCTTTCGGAGTTATTGTGTGTTAAAAGTGTTTCTTGTTTTCCTAAACACAAACAAATAATAGTTTTGTTAAACATATTAAACCGTAGATTAAATACACGAACCCTCTGTCTGTGAGCCAACCCAACCCAATAAAGCCATGAGTTGACAGCCATTGCACACACCGAGAGAGAAGGTGTCACTTCTGGCTCTAAATCTTTTCAGTTGTTGTTCTATGGTTTGGTTGAACTTCATGGCCGCCGCCCACCCCCTGGCGCTGCCCAATACGTCCGCATAAGAGAAACCTCCCGGGAATATAAGTCCTCTGAACGCCTCGAGAGTTAGGAGTTGTTTGTTTAAGATGTCAGTTATGGTGACGTCGGCCACTTCGAAGCCAACCATATAGAGACTGGCGATCATCTCTCGGTCGCCATTAATTCCTTCCTCTCGAATGACTGCCACTCGCGGAGCACTCTTGAAGTGGTTGTCAATATCTGTTCGCAAATGAAATTGTGGTCTAATGTCGGACATATTGAGGATATGAGTGGCAACTCGAAAGGCTTACTGATATTGATTAAGTCGGGATCGAAAGTGAGGGTCCATTTCGGGGCTCTCCTGTGTTTCAGACCACTCTTCTCCTGTTGCACACAATCCTTGTTTGTCTGAAACTTTTCCAATTCAAAGCTCGTCTCTTCCCATTTGTCTCTCAATTCAGTCATTTTGGCCTAAAATCCAAACATTCAATACTTTTAGCTATTTTATTGATTTTTTTATTATTGATATTTACTTTGAGAACAGTTTTATTATTAATATTAATAATAACTAAATCCTGATTTTGGAGAGCTTTGCCAATAACTTGTGGCTCGAGTTCAATACGTTTGAATGAAGTTAATACGCTAGGTAAATGTTCAGAATTCACTTCAAGCACAATACCACACTCCTCAGCAAACAATAACGAAATGTCTGTATTGTTTGCGGACTTAATGTTTGCCTCTAATCCACAATTGGAAGCGAAAGCCATTTCTAGTAAACAAGTGATGAGTCCGCCGTCGCTTATATCATGGCCTGCCGTACAGATTCCGCTTCCTATCAATTGCTGCACTAAATTGAAACAATCCCTCAATAGTAGAGGTTTTTCCAAATCAGGCGATTCATCACCGATTTGACCGAATACTTGTGCCAAAGCTGACCCTCCAATCCGTAATTTCTGATTACCACTTAAGTTGACATACAAGAGCTCAGTGCCATTCATCTTGAGCTCAGGCGTCACTTTGACTCTTATGTCGGGCACCGGAGCGTAAGCGCTGACGACTAGAGTTCCGGGAGATTTGACCACTTCGTGACCACTCTGTATCTTAACCTTTGCTGCCATTGACAGCGAATCCTTTCCTCCATCGACACCAATATTGAGTTGATTCATAACACCACACATGGCCTGACAGGTCTCCACCAGTTTTGCGCCCTCCCCTGACATCACATAATTATAACATATTATACTCATTAGTGTTGGCACAGCAATACAATTAGATTGACTGCAATACCGTCGAGCTTTGCGGCCCACATCCAGTTGCCCGAGCACTTGACGTCTCGCAAATCACTTATTACACAAAACATCAAATTAGTGATGGCTTCGGCCACTGATAGCCTTCCATTTGCTTCCGAGGATATCAATCCCTTAATGGGTTGTTCACCAATAGAAGTGGCACTTCCTCTGAAGTTGAAATAATTCAGTGCAATCACTGCGTAATCGGCTAATGGTGTGTGGAGTGGGCCAATACATTGCTGCTGAGCCACGAGACCTGATATCATCAATGTTAATTATATATTCATTAATTTAAATTACAATTTCAATACCTGTTACACTTCTGTCCACTTTATTTGTCAAATATCTTTTGGACGCCACAGAAGGCAATCGAAGCACACGATTCAGTGCATCGATTAGTCTGAGATTATCGGGAAGTCTTAAAGGTTTTAATACAGGACTTGATTTCTTAAAATTAAATGTTTTGCGGGGCATTGATCCCAAGACATGTTTGAGGTCCAGGTTGACCGCGTGTTTGCCCTTATCGTTGTCATCGACGAGAGTGATGTGTCCGTCGCCGGTCACGTGTCCGACAAAATCGATTTTACATTTTTCCCGTTCACTAATCTTTTGCAGTAATGAATGGTCTTCTGGTTTAACGAGTATTGCATTACTTTCCTGATATTCTGCTCCCCATAACTCCAATATATTGATCGTGGGGTCGCCTAAACTGAACTTATTTACAAAGATCTTTGCGCCCAACGGATCGGCTATTTCTTTGAGAACATTGCCATTACCTCCGGCCCCCTGATCATGGATTGCTTGGATTGGGTTGTGCTCTAGTTTTATGACAAGCCTTTGTTTATATGATTTTTATATTCATAAACATTTACCAGAATATTCAATACAGGCTCTTATGAATCGATTGAGTTTTTGCTCCATTTCTGGATCTCCTCTTTGAACGGCACCGAAATCCAAGTCCTGATTCTTTTCACTCCCTTTTGAGAAATTAAAGCTAAAGAATATTTTAAAAGTAAAATCTATATAAACCTTGAACTTCGGTAGAACTGGCGGCACCGCCTCCCACTCCGATCCTAATCAACACATTTGGAGTTAACGAGCGAATTAATAAACTCTAATCATTGACTCTAACCTATAGACGGGTCCACCAACTTTTGCCACAGACATTCCCAGTTTTGGATTTTCTTTGATAACATAATTATCCTCAATAGTACCGATACCTCCGCTGAACATAATTGGTTTAATGTATTCAAATCTTTCATCTGATGAAAAAACATTTTTATAGAATATTCAAAATATTCAAAATAATGGCTAAAATGTAATTAACTGTTTGGCAATCGTTGTCCAAAACTTCGGGCAAAACCTGTCAGAACTGGTTCACCGAATTTGTTGCCATAATCTGAGGCCCCATTACTGGCTTCAATGCATATCTGAAGTGGATCAGCAAAATTGCCCGGATATACCTCATTCTTGTCCTCCCATTCCAAGTCATATCCGGGAATATTGAGATTTCCAAAAGAATAACCGGCAGTTCCAGCGATTACATGAGCCCCACGACCTGCCGCCTGAACATCTCTTATACGACCTCCAGTTCCTGATATGTGAGACCATATTATTCACAAAGTTACAAGAACCAATAAATACAAAATTATAATATAATTAGTCACGGAACTACACTGGCCCTGTATTTACTATTAATTATGAAACATGTTTTAATAAATAAATTTAGAAAAATGAATAACTTTAAGATCCTTAATAAGGCAATAATTTATTCATTTGTTGATGTATTGAATATTCTTAATGTTTCTTTTATATGATATAAACATTACTGAATCTTTAATACAGTAATTCTTTGTAATGTTTATGTAAACTAACTTATATAATATAGTTCATGTTATTTTTGGGATGCCTTCATATATAAGTTTACTGTAAATGCATTAATAAATTCTCTGAATAATTAAATTGAATGTTGTGTCCATCACTTACACACAAATTAAGAAAAATAGCAAACTGATTGTAATAAATCACTAAGATATCATGTTTTACTAAATTATTTAACAAATTCTAACTTATTTGGCATTCAAAACATTATTGACTCATTTATATTACTCATTTATAATACCAGTACATATTTCAAGACAACCAAAAGTATCTTTACTAAAAGGAATACATAAATAAAAATGAATAAAATATGAATACAAAAGAATTGGTTGTATTGCGATAATAAAATTAGTTACTGTACTGTAGCCTTATTTCATTTTCAAGTAAGCTTTGATTGAATGTGTGAGAGGTATAAAAAGTTTATTAGACTACTTGCCAGTGGTAGCACCGGGGAAGGGGGCCACCCCTGTGGGGAAATTATGTGTTTCGGCTGTAAAGATGATGTGTCGAGTCTTATTGGACTCTACTTTCACTAATGAAGCTTCGGTTGAATTGACCGGAAGTAATATATTAAGCGAAGAAAAGCCTTTAATAGCACTGGAATTGTCATTGAATTTAATAACGTTGTTATCGTTGGTGTGGTTCTGAGTGTCGGCCACTAATTCAATCAACGACTTATCAATTTGTTGGCCGTTTATCAATATATTTCCCTATCAATCAATTCACTTAAAATGTTATTTCAAGAAAATGCTTAATAAATAATGTAATACTTTGAAAAACCAATGTCTCGAGTGTTCAGAGTTAGACTGCGCCAAATCAAAGCATTCAACTGATGTTGGGTTACGTTTGAGAGTATCCCTGAATAGTTTGGTGTAGTATTCAATATCCCATTCATCAAAAGCTAATCCCAGTTCATCACTGATCTGACGGAGGGCTTCCGAGCCTCTGTTCATGACGTCGATCTCAACCCAATCCTCGCGATTGACGGGCAATACAAACGATTCAATCGGTTTGACATATCTTTGTTGTGTCATTCTGTCGTGTAATTGGTTTACAATTAGGGACTCCGTTTGAGCGCTTATTTCTCCCTGTTTATGACGAAAGTAAATTCAGTTTAATGGGAGCCAAACATTAGCATTCGTATAGAGAATAGCGCTCATGAAAGCAATATTCCTCCAAATGATATGATTAGTTGGTTTGACCTGATAATTGATTTCATAGAGAATACTTCTCTCGATTCTGTTTATTTTTGCTGCCAGTCCTACAGCTGCACAGATTGAAACTGCATTTGTCGAGAAGGCTGTACTGAAGTTAAGTCGGGCACCGATTTCGATAAATAAGCACTTCTTTGGCGATGACTTATCGCTTGCAAAAGATGTTGACTTTCGGAGAGTGCTGTCGAAAGTTGGAGATAATATCCATTCGACTTTCTTCTCCTCTTCGCTGTCAAGTTTTCCTGTGTTTTACATAAACTTTCATGAAATACTAATATTTTCAAAACTTGGAAAATCTCTTACCAGTCGTTCCCACATAATAACAGTATTCCGTTTTAATTGACGTTAGATTCTTGGCGTGAGTCTTGAGTTTAGCCAAAGTATCACCAATTTTGGCATCACTTAGACCTGGACTCTGGTAATACCTCAACACACTATTTGCCATCTTTTGCTATTATAGCCTTGAAATACAAGTCAGACTATTTGAGATGAATTCTCTCTCAAATGTGCACAAACTTAAGATATTTTATGAGTTTATAGTTTAGTTTTTATCATTAGTATAAGCAATACCTTAGGAAAGTTAGGATAACAGTTCAAGGCTTAGGTTCACAACCCAATGCTTTGGTTCTCTCAATGCTATAGCACTTCAATAAAACCGATGGCAACCAAAAGCAACCAAACGATTGCTTTCTGCTATTCTTCTTGAGGTTCAGTCAAATGTCTTTCAAATAATTATTAATATAGTACTTATAAAATCAATTTTAAAATACAAATACTTTATATATGCGTAAAGCGGCGATCGTTTTAAGCACTTCTATCATACGATAGTCTATGACATGAATCTGTGAATTCAATCTATGAATTGATTGCAATATCTTATGTTCTCTCCTGACTGTCCAATAATATGTTGTTTTGCAGCTAATTCTTGTTTATCTCAAACAAACTCACAGTTATCTCTTCATATTTGTTTACTGCCTAAACTATTTCTTAATTTATTAGTTATTGGTTTTAATTCAATTAAAATATATTTAACAATTACCAATTTATAATTTAATTTTTGATGACTTCATAAAATAAAATGATAAAACCATTACTTACTGTATGTATGGTCTACATATTGCAATTAATGGTAAAGTAATAAATGAAAGCAAATTATGTAAAACTTGTGTAATATTATTGAATTTATTTACAGAATCAAATTTTAATTTACAGTATTATTAATTTATAATTACAATAATATATTACAATAAAAATCAAAAATTCTATAAATATTTAAAAATTAAATACAATATTAAAAATGATTGTTAGCCTATGGGTTCAATTCTACAATAAATCCGTTGAGATCTGTTACCATATTATTGATATTATTAAAATCATTACAAATAAGACAATCAGTTCTTGAAAACATTGATTTCTAAAACTTATATCTATTGTAGAGTTGAAGTGAAATTCTTAGTTTGAAGTTTATTTCGTATTGGATATATCCTTACGTTTGCAAATAAGTCCTTGTCGTTCATATCCAGGTTTGCACAGACATTCATAACCTCCGGGAGTATTCACACAAATTGCATTCTCATTACATTCGTTCACTTCTTTAGAGCACTCATCGATATCTGTATTTGTGTCACAAAAAGTTAAAAATACTTTCTCTCCAAACAGTGTATCATTATTTGTATCCTAAATACTATAGAACATATGTTTATTAGATGTATTATTCATATGTATTCAGTCATTCATTACTAGACTATTACTACATTATATGAATACAAATCAATGATCAAATATTAATGTTTTTTTGTCAACAGTCTTAAACTTAAAGAAGATTTTTCATGTATTTTCTTTGATGAATACTATTTGTAATAATATTAATGATAAAATGGGCGTTAACTCAAATTTCATTCAATTATATTATTATGATTTTCATTGATGTCTAAAATTGTATCTAATCTTGAGTTCTAGTTAATACTCAAAAGACCACAAATTGTATAATTAGCTAATGAGTCAAATATATCACTCAAACTATATTTAGCTTAAAACCTAATAAATGAGTTTGAATTAAATGTCATATTAGGGAATAGTGACATTTATGATAATAAACGGCATTATAAGTCACCCAAACTCACCAATGCATTCAAATTTATTATGTCGTCTAAAGCTGGGTAAACACTCGCACTTATAAGAGCCTAATGTGTTCACACATATCGTATTCTGTCCGCAATGATGGCCATCATTGCCTCCTTTTTGATCGCATTCGTTCAGATCTTCACATATCTTTCCATCGCCTTTGAAACCCTTATTACAAGAACAGGTATATTCTGTGTGCAGGTTATGACAGGTTGCGTTTGAATGGCAATCATTGCCTACACTGCAAAAGTCGGCGCCTAAACAGTCAACACATTATTTAGCAAATTATATACACTATGCAAACACAATATTCAGAATATATAGCAATAGTATTGGGAATAAGTATAAAATGAATGAATGAATACCAGCACAGAATCTGCAACATTGGTCTTCTCGAGTGAACTGTTCATTGATAGGACAGTCGAGTTGAGGACACATCGTCTCTGCGATTATTTGTTTACAACTAGTCTTTCCGTCCTTTCAATTCAATTCAAAAGTATTCAATTAATTAATTTTTCGTTTAATTAATCAATTGAAGCGGACTTACATTACACACACATTCACCACATTTGTCTCTATTGGCTATTTTGGGACTAATTTTAATGCGTTGGCCGTGTTGTAGGACCTGTCCATTCAAATAACATGTTTCTGCAAATGTGTTATCAAAACAATAATTTGTTAAAAGTTTTGGTGGTAATGAATCATGTGTTTGAGGCATACTTTTGCAAACAGGACAGCACTCGTTGGCAACCATTTCGGGGTTTTTACACGGAATCGAACAATGAATGGGTCGACACTTCACTTCTCCATGCTTTCCCATCGGACACAAAATTAATTAAAAATAATTTACATTAATATAAAAATTAACATAATCATGACCTATAAATCTTTTAATATAATTTAATATTTAAACAATAATTATAGATTTTCATGTGAAGGCTACTAAAACCCTAGCATACCAATTAGTGGTCTTAATTAGAGGCAATCATACATACAATACAATTATTTTATAAACTTTGTACAAAACTCTTGGCTACAATATTTCGACGAATTTTATAAAAAAGGCTATTTGAGAGTGCTTTTAAATTTGATATTAACTTTATTTTCATTGAATGGTCATATTTGATATTGTTATGATACTGTATTATGTTTTTTAAACATTCAAAAACAGCAATATTAGCAATATTTACTCCACACTACTATTATAGCCAAGAGTTGTCGAACAAAGTTGATAACATTGCAAGTTTATAATATGGCATTCATTAGTGAACTGTATTTCAGCAATACTCACAACACAGGAACAGATATCACAGTCTTGTTTCCAACTCGATCCCTCTGAATGTAAGGTTCCGTTCACTAAACAGCTCTTAAAACAATCGCATTCCTCAACGTTTTGTAGTCGAAGCTGAGTCTCATAAAGCTATCGATAAAATATTTTAGTTACAATTCATTTGTGTACAAATGGCACTGTACAGGGTACACTATACCTTTTCCGAGAGTTCTTTAACAAGATTCTCTAAATTGATGACTGAATTCTCTAATCTGATGACTGAACTCTGTAATGTTTTGAATTGAGCACGAGTCGGACACACTATCATTGAAAACAATTCACAACAAATCAAAATTAGTTTCATTCAAAAAATACCATTTTCTTATATTAGTATAAGATATGAATAAGTGTTTAAAAGTTTTGTTACATTAATTGTATTCACTGAAAATACTGTATGAGTATAAAAATGAATACAGACTCTATATTAAAAGATATTATGATTAGAGATAAAAAGATTAGCGCAGAATTGTAAATTATGATAATTTGGGGTGAGTTATTTAAAATTTGTAGTTTATTTTAAATGCTGTAATAAAAAGTTGAATAAAAAATTTATTTTTAATTAGCATATTAGACTTATAATTTGAAATGGATAAATCAACACTTGTTAGATATGAAACTCCAGGATATTTTATGAAAAAATATATAAATATTATTTAGAATTTAACAACTTTTAGAAAATATTCAACAAAGAATTAAATAATAAAATCTCAATATTGGAGGTACTGTAACGAAAATGTTATGTATTTTCTAGTTTGTAATGAATGTGATTGATATCACCTCCAATGTGTACCTGTAATGTCTAATCTCTAATACATATAGGTATTCAACTGAACAAACAATGCGATTCACGACATGAGCCACAGAAGGGAATCTTCACTCATAAAGAGTCCAACAGTTCCTAAACCACTCATAAACGTCTCGTTGTCTCGAAAATCACAAATAAATCCTATTCTCAGCTCAAAGTAATTGAATTTGGAGAGAGAAAACTTTACATCAAATGTATTACAAGACACGAGATAACAGTCGAGAATTGCATTTTTGTCATAAATTAACTTATGTTTACGTTTAACTAAACTCCTAAATTTAAAGCAAAACAAATTATTTTTTATTTTCTTTACAGCTTTACTGCTGTTTATTCCTATTATAGTAATGGTTAACATACCGATAGATTTTTATAGATTTCTATATTACGTTTAACTAAACTCCTAAATTTAAAGCAAAACAAATTATTTTTTATTTTCTTTACAGCTTTACTGCTGTTTATTCCTATTATAGTAATGGTTAACATACCGATAGATTTTTATAGATTTCTATCTTTTATTGTCAAAGATACAAAGATACTATTTTAGTACTGTATATACTTTGTACAGTATACTTTATATACTGATATACTGTATGTAGTGAATGTCACCGCCAGACACACCACACATTGCAGACACAGTCATCAAGAGTTGCAAACATAGACTGGTTTGTCACTCCAATACTCTCTATAATGTGATATACTTTGAACAGTAACCGTAATTTACAATCTTCTACACTATTCACTATTCCACCCGCAGTGCAGTGCTAGCGCTCAGGTATTCACTAACATATTAAGAATTGGGAATTGGGTGAGAGAGAGAGAGAGAGAGAGGGAGAGAGAGAGGGGGAGAGAGAGAGAGAGAGAGAGAGAGAGAATAGAGAATATGAAGTTTATGTTGCAATACTAGAAACGATCCAAAACTTTAGAAATTGACTTATTTTTCAATTTATTTAAAAAGTGAAAAGAAGTTGAGAATAAAATATTTTTATATTAAAAAGAAAAAGCAAGAAATAAATAATAGAAAGTCGGGGCTGTAGGGGCTGTTGAGGCGCGTGGGCCGCACGTGTCGACTGCTCGCAGTTGTATTGGGCTATAGTTTGTGAATTAGAGATCAATGAATATATTGTATGCATAGAAATAATAGCAGATCTGGTGGTGAGTGTATAACCCGCGGGGCTATTGTAATGCGTCCTTTGGATTGCAATTTCCCATTCATTATTACAGAATATGAGTCCAAACACAGGCTAACACATAGCAAAACATAGCACCGGCAGCTAAAGCCAGCTACTGTTGTGCTGTTGTGCAGCTGCACTACACTGCAGGATATAGTCTATGCAAAAACTACCGGATCTATTGGATCTGTTATATCAATTCAATTTATGATCCCTTCTATTCTCACTGTCGCTACATTTCTGGAGATTTTCAGTTAGAGTCTTACAGATGTCTAATATTTTGCCTAAAATCTAATTTTTAATCCTATGATTGCAAACGAAACTGAGTTATTATTGGACTTATCATAAAAAATTCGTACAATGATTTATTTGAAAGCCTAACAATTTTGTTATGCAACTAATACTCTATAATCCAAACGTTTATCGATTAATGACTTTAATATTTATATAGAGTTTTATAGATTTTCTTTAAAATAAATTTAATATTCATTTTACTTTTCATGGAAATAACATTCAGTAATACAAGTACAGTAGCCTAAATTCGGTATTAATAGTTTAGACAATATATGGATCCGAATAACAGTATTGATTCCAAGTATATTATTATCCATAAACTAACACATTATTTATCCAATATCTTCTGCTTGACAAATAACAAGTTATTAAACTATAATCTTATTATAAGAGTGAGTGATATGTTTGCAGACAATTGTTTTATAATTTGATTTGAAAGCAAACTACTGTATGCTGTAATATACAATTTATACAAAATTTGCTGTAATATAAATTATAATTAGATGTGTAATGAGAGTCAAGTAAATGCAATGACAGCTGGAAATATAGTTTCGCATTAAATGTTAGACAGTTTGCAGACAATTGCGAGCAAAAGAAAGTAAAACTTATTGAAAATCAACGACAAGTAAGAGTGAATACTAGAGCACGAGTCCTGGTTTTGTGAGGGCCAGTGACCAGTCATACCATACCATACCATAACACCTGTGACAGGTGTGACTACAGATGAGGGGGTGGAGGAATGCGGTCGGTATGGAAATGTATGGAAATGGTTGGCACTCTTGCGGACGGGGATATAATATGTCTACTATTAGGATAAGGATGTGTACAAATCAACTTATGTCTCATTTTGTTTAAACAGTTAACTCTATTACAAACCACTCATTAATGTTTTATGTGCTTTCATTTGCATCAAAAACTTAGTTTCATTCAAAATATTTCAAAATATAAATTCTGTTTTTCTATAATAAACTACTAAATGACACATTTGATTGAATTCGTTAAAAATTAAATTGCATTTCAAGCTCTTATTAATTGTGAAGTTTAAAAAATATCAATCATTTAATATTTGATTTAAACTCATATTTTATTTGTATAAAATCATATGCTGTGTAAGCACTTTTCATTTTAATTGCAAATATTAATCTAATATATTAATTAAAAATATAATTAATGCTTAAATATTCTTCTAATTAATATATCTCTTTAGTTTCAAAAGAGTTCTTCAGTTTTTGATTATTTTTATTGAATCCCATAAATATTCAATGAATGTAACCATTAGTCCATAAGAGTGTGTTTGAAAGCATTAAAAAACTTTCAATTTTTCTTTAGATAAACAAATGCAATGATTTATATCCTCATGAATTCATTGACAAACTTCAGTATCGTATCTCTAACTCAAATACAGTCGAAAGAGTTCATTCAAATACCTGTTTCTATAGAAACTCGGTGTTATTAATCATTTTGCAATCAAATCACTAAAAAAGACATTTTCATTTCATTGTCTAATTAATAAACTTTTGTAAAACTGGTCAAAGGCTGTCAATTTCGATCCATATCTGAAGCTTTATAAAACATTTTAATATCTATGATGTCATTTTAATTGATTATTATTCTGATTAATAGCATTCAATTATAAAGCAAACTATTGTACAGTAAAATACCATTATACTGTATCATAAATTTTAGGCAAACTTAATATAAATAATAAAATTCTGGTCAGAATTTCGTAGAAATGACAATAATGTCTGCAACTTATATTATACTTATAAAAGTCCTAAATTTATCCCAATTGTTATTTTATTTATAACACAATGTTATAAATTATGCAAATATCAGTAATTGTTAGTATTTATAGTATGCTACATAATAGGTATAGCATAATAAACTACTGCTTAACGGATTAAGTTTTTTATGTCTTTATAGCGATTATAGTGTTTGAATGGTAAATAGGCTTAAAGTGATGGTCATATCATAACTGCTTTCACTCTAAGAATTCCAATACTATTGTATTCATTGAGAGTAACAAACATTACAAATAATAAAGTCATAGCAGCTGTCAGTCTGTCATTTCTTTCAATTAAATTCAATTCATTTTTTATGCAATCATTTCACAGCAATTCTATAACTGTTGAAACATTAGATAAACTAAATTATGTAGTGCTATAAACAAAACGTCAAAGTAATCGGATTTTATTTTGTGTCAATAATTTATGTTCTTCATTGAATTCATTGCTAATCAGATTTAGTTAAGATTAAGTCGTGATTAATAATTCATTAGATTAGTGTCACCTAAACATCTATTTAATAGCTTTCTTAAACTAACTCATTTATTAATTATACGTAAAAAATAAACTCCAGTAATGACTTAAATGGAAATACGGTAATAACTTATTCAATGCGAAAACATGTTTTAAGTAAAATATCTTTATAAATTAATAGTATATTATAAATTAGCATAAAATCCAATTTAACAGTAAATTAGGAATTAATTTAAATATAAAAGTGATTTCATTTTCACTCATTAAATATAATAAATACTTTTACTAATTATAACTTGTATGATAAATTAATCAATTTTGCTTTTAACAAATGAAACCCATTGTCAACTAAAAACAAACTTTTAATATTATTTATGTTTTAATATAATACTCGGCACTAAAAACGGATATAACTTATTATTTGTCTCATTAGATGTTATAAATGTTAGGGAAGGTTGTAATCATTAAATGCAAAAATTATAGAAATGTTAATTACGATGAGAACCTATTACAATATACTCTATCCGGTAATCTATTGTATAATACGATGGAAATGGATAATGATAGCACTGGAATACATTTAATCATTGATTTCTTAAATGTCTGGCCACTGTGTGTTTGGTTCAATTGTGTGAATCTGACTGTTTGTATATTACTTGAAATATTTGATGTATTGTTTGCGAGAATTGAATGGATATATCTATTATAGAATATATGAGACAACAAACTGCAAACTCTGTGTCCGACTACTGAGTGTAATACCCATTGAAAGTGCAGTCATCGCTATTAAGTCAGAATCCATTATCACAACACAAGATATGCTTTTAAAAGATTTTCTCAAATAAATAGACATTTACTCAAAGGATAGAGAATTGTCAACATTTCGATAGTGAAGAAATGAAAGAGAGGTATAACTCTCCAGCAGAAAAGCGGTCTATTTTCCGGTTTGACAGAACATCACTCCAGGATATCCTTTTCCATCTAATGGTAGAGCCCATAGAGTCCGTACACTGAGTCCCATCACAATTGAAAAGCTGTTTGAGATGACTATTTGACGACCCGTCTTATCTGTTCGCTCACGAATCACTTCACCAACCGTTCAATTAAGGCTATATTAGTGCCCATAAAAGTCTATTTCATTTTTATGTCCTCATAACATTACCCTCTATTCAATATATACCCAGAATACTATTCAATACCACTATAAACATAATTTCAATCCATTAATCCAAACAAAAATCTATTTGCAATCAAATTATGTAACAAACGTATTATATATTGAATATTCTGTATAATCGTCGTATTAAAGTTATGTTTCCGGCACAATTATGTGCTAAGTTTATTATTTACTTATATGAAATAGAGTTAAACATCTCTTCAAAAAAGTTATTTTAAAATCATAAGAATTATTATGAATATGTAATACAGGTAAGTAAGAATATGACATTTAAAATTAATTATGCATATTATACGTAATGGGTGATTCTATATACCGCGACTTTTTACTAGCTTAAAAATCTAAGGCTATATTACTGTTTAATGTGCTTAATATTCTCTATATTCTAATTCTGTAATTCTAATCATTGAGAATAAAAGCTTTTGATATTTATATATCTTAATTAATATATAAATAGAAACCTCGACATAAATGGGGAATTGCAAAAACAATTATGGCATTGATCTTAATCGAGATAATCATTACTCAAGACTTTGTAATAAATTTTAGAAATTGAATCATGTTTTAAACTCATTTAAAAAATAATTTAAATTTAAAATGAATTTAAAATAAAAACTAAAATGTGATTAATGAGCATTTTAAACTTCAGAAACTTTGAGAATAATAATTTAAATAACTTTTAAAATTGAGAAATTGTGAATATTTGTTATGCTAACGTAAATATATTGAACAGAACTGAAATACATTAACTATTTATATATAGAAAGCTGTTTTTGAAAATTTTAAGCACATATTGCAGATATAAAACAATTCAAACGATATACCGGTTCGGTGCTGTCATAAACATACCTTATATTTTATAACTGTTTTTAACATAAAATATCATAATATTATTAAATAAAATATCAATTGAAACCAATACTAGTATGCAATTGATGTGTGGATCGTTCGCCAGAAGTTGAGCCTCTGGTATCACCTGCTCATAGCTGTATGGATGGCCGGTTGGACGGCTGCCTGTCTTTACGCTACAGTGCTTTGACTTATTTTGTTAGTCGACAGACATTTGTTGTGCACATTATGGTCACCACTAAAGCATTCTTACGCTCAACACATACATGAGACACAACTCAACCAAACTATTCAAATGTATTTAAACTAATTATAACATTTAAATTCAGTACATTTCACTCAAATCTGTTCGTTTAGAGTTAGACCACAAACACATATTTGTGTCGGAAATGCAAATATATTATATAGATATATTTATATGTCATATACTGTACTAATATACGGTACTGTACAGCACTGTAATACACTGTAAGGTATGGAATAAAACCTATTGATTGTTTCACATTTCGGATGTAATTATTTCATACATTTATTTTACTAGCGAGACAATTGTATAGAAAATTGTTTATCAATATTTCAAAGTAATGTAAACTTCCATAAAGGAAAGATACATAACTGTTAATATCATTATAAGTAATTTTGGTTGAAATTTACGTTATGGTCAGCAAAGCATATAACAAGCAATCCTTAATGATATGGAATATAATATACAATATAATAGTCTATAACAGAGCGCATCATTTCCAGAGCACAACCTCTTCAATGATAGAGCAATGCCTGCCATATGTTTGTAGTATTGAGCAAATTATTTGAGTAACGCGTATAATATTTTACATTATGGTCACCACTAAAGCATTCTTACGCTCAACACATACATGAGACACAACTCAACCAAACTATTCAAATGTATTTAAACTAATTATAACATTTAAATTCAGTACATTTCACTCAAATCTGTTCATTTAGAGTTAGACCACAAACACATATTTGTGTCGGAAATGCAAATATATTATATAGATATATTTATATGTCATATACTGTACTAATATACGGTACTGTACAGCACTGTAATACATTGTAAGGTATGGAATAAAACCTATTGATTGTTTCACATTTCGGATGTAATTATTTCATACATTTATTTTGCTAGCGATAGACAATTGTATAGAAAATTGTTTATCAATATTTCAAAGTAATGTAAACTTCCATAAAGGAAAGATACATAACTGTTAATATCATTATAAGTAATTTTGGTTTAAATTTACGTTATGGTCAGCAAAGCATATAACAAGCAATCCTTAATGATATGGAATATCTATATGTTATATTATCAGATATTGTCTCGCGTAGTAAAGGTCTCGTGTTGGAGAAGTTACTATCTCGTTACGGACGGTATACAAACATCATAACTCGTTTAATAAACTCATTGCGCATATTATAAAAACGCTTAATTTATTATTTGTTAACAAACTTGCAGTATTCTCTTACAGTACGGTATACTGACTCGCGACTAGAGTATAGGGTATGGATAGTATGGATAGACATAAGTGTAACTTATATGCCATCCTCCACGAGACCCAAACCCTAATCTCTTGTGCATCTGTCAAGACTTCAGTCTCATTACGCCTATAATTATGCTTAATATGAGAACAGTTTTGTTTCAAATTAAATACTAAAATAACAATTGTCTGCAAATACATCACTCAAAGCAAGTTAGTCTAGGATTAAAGCATAACCAGTGGAAACATATATTAATACTCAATTTAATAACTTCTTAAAAGTTAAGCACTAAATATCCGATAAATAATGTTTTGCAAAGTTTTTATGACTTATTATATAAAGTTCGCTAAAGTTGATTCTGGATAACATAAAAGATATTATTTTTTATAAAGATTAAAATGCATGAATTTATTGAAGAAAAATCCATAAAATTCAATACTAAACAAAAATCAATGACTCGGTTAAAAGTGAGGCATTGGTTAAATTATATACTTTACTGTTTCATAAGAAATAAATCAGAGACTATTGCACTGTATGTCTCACACAGACATCAGGTTTTAATTTCAATTCATGATTGAGTGAATGAACTTATTTTTTATATTTGTTAATACCTTAATAATTATTTGAAATATGAATAAAAATTTTAAAACTAAGTTTTGTGAGTATTAGTGAACCCATACAGAGTAAGGGCTTGAATCATATATTGAACATCTTGTAAATCCGAGTGATAAATACAACACAACTCTAACCGATTACAGCATTTAGAGAAAAACTTTGCATTTAAGGGTAATCTGAATACTAACTTGGATAATTGTTAACAATAATAAAAATAATTAAAAACAATTTTACAGTTTGATTGACTCACAAAAAGCATTTACAATATGATTAAGTAGTTTTACACATAAATGTTAATCAAATGATTGCTCAAAATGGCTTTTAAAAGTGAATTAAGTGAGAATTGGGTGTAAGAGTGATGACATACCGACTGAAAGGAGTTGTGTTTGGATTATGAGTAGAATCGAGACGAGAAGATTCCTAACCATAAACTTTGGCACCAGAACTGTACCCTTGAGGGCAATCCCAACCAATTCCATCTGAAATGTCCATTTCATGAGTTATTTAAATGTAGACAATAAAAAGGTATTAAATATAGGTTTTGGCAAACTTTTCTCAGTAAGTCTTATAGTATATATACATTATTTTATGTTTGCAAATTTAAATAACTGAGCTGGATGTTTTGGTCACTATGATCAAATAAAATCCAATTGTTTCCGTTTTTTGCTGATAAAACGTGTTTAAAAAATATTAGACGACTTATTCATAAAACTTAGAAATTGAACTAAAGTGCACTAATGAACTAAACCATGTTATGATAAAATATGATTCATTGGTTACTTACGAATCAGAAGTTAAGATCAAAATTCATGTGTATTTCAACGAATCGTTCAATAATCGAGATATGAATGAACTGCACGTTATTATGAGACAATTGTTGGCAATTATGATGAAATGATAATCAAATAAATAAGTGAATGGATTCATAAGTTATTTGATTGTCCACACAATCAGTAGTGAACGCAAGAATCGATATTCAAAGTAACACTGAAAGCATAGCACATAGTAGTAGTGCAGTCACTGTAGTGTCGGTGCTTTCAAACTGCTCTCAAACTGAATGCTGTTTACCGTACGACTGAAGCTTACGAACACAACTCACATCACAACCAGTACTGAGAGTGAGAGAGAGCACAGAGAGCACAGCCACACACCGACACCACCACCTCATACCTCATACCGCATACGCCAGAGCCACCAGAGCATAGTCTGTCTATCAGTCTCTCAGTCTCAGCTCATTTGTATTTGTAACGCACGATATGTACTGTATTTGCAATGCATGAGCTGCGGGTGCGGTGACACACCAGACCCACCATTCCCTAAATTGTCACTTCGGTTGTCCGGGAGATATGTATGCGCCGTATGTTGTTGTGTAGTGTTCACTATTCTGTTGGTTTCCACACAAAATAACAAACGAATAGATACGATACTCAGTTTCTTTGGCTGTTTACGGAGTGATCAGTCACGGGCGTGTAGGTGATGGTGATGGTGAGCCCCACAATTGTCCATCGGTTCCAATCATTAGATCATACAATACAGTACCACAGTTGCAAAGTATCTATGAGTTGCTACTTTCTACTATACGAAATAGTTTCCAAACAACTCAATGACTGGATGTCGGCCACAAACTTGTAATTAAATGACTTACAGTAAGACTAACGAATACATTGTAAGAGACATTATAACTAAATGTGCAAAAGTTTTACAGTTATATAGAGAACTAGCATACAGTAGATTCTATGACATAGAATTTAACAATTCTTATGCGCTTATGTCACATAAGTTTTGTTATGCAACACAAACACGAAAGGCACGTCACGGCCAGCTCGGGAGATAAACTGCGGTAGGTTCACTTATTTACTCGTTCAAGTCATATTATGTCATGTTAAACACTTTTAAGTTAAAATTAGATTTAAATTTAGATAATTTTCAAGTCGATAAATGAAAAAAACAATTGATTAATGAATTGCAAATCGATAGAAAAATAACATTAAAACTGATATTTACTTTGAAATTATAATAAAAGGAGTAATTAAAACAACTATTACTTATAAATTATAATTATAATTACGGTAATATATATAAACTTAGTAGTTTGATATAATTATTAAGTTTTATATTGATAAACGGTATAAATAAATGTAAATTTATTAATACAGTGGAGGGGAGTAAGTGTTAATGTGTTGCACATTGAACTCCTGGGCCCTGGTGCGAGTGCTCGAAGTCATCCTCGCTGTAGGCCTCACCTGGCCGTCCGTGACCTCTGGATTGGTTGGCTCTCTCGCGTTCAATGTCCATCTCCATGAGAGTCACCTCTTCGACGGGCTGGTCATCCATCGGGAGTTCAACGCGCGGTCGGGCGGGCAGTATGTTCTCGAGTTGGGTCACGAATATGGGATCAATGGTTTCGGGGAACTTCACCAGGAATTGAATGATGAGTTTTCCCTTTTCAAACGGACTCTTATAGCGAGGCATTCCCTCTCCCATCACACACTTTACTGATCCGTGTTTTACTACTTCTCCCGGAAGTGATGTCAACACAAGAGTTCTATTGTCCAGTGTTTTCACTCCTTTCTGGAACCCACACAACGCTTCCGTGAGAGTGAGGTCGAGGTTAATGAGCAGATCGTCGGTGCGGACCCTCTTGAAGACCTGGTGTTCCTTCTCGTCCAACACGACGATTATGTCGCCCGCGGTCTCCAATCCCGGCTCCATATCGCCCTCACCCGAGAAGGCAATCCTCTGTCCGTCTTCCATACCCTTATCGATGTGAACCTCAAGAATCTTCTTATCCTTCGACACCTTCTTTCCATCGCATCCTTTGCAGCGGTCTTTGGCTGCGATTCGTTCGCCTTTTCCGCCGCAATCACTGCAAACCGTTTGGATCTGTTGGACGATGGAGGGGCCCAAGTGCTCGACCCGCACCTGCATCCCAGACCCGCGACACGGGTGACACCTCTCGGCGCCCACATTGGGGCTCTTAGTGCCCGTCCCTGAGCATTTATCACAAATCACTTTCTTCTGGATCGAGAGCTTCCGTGTCGTCCCGTTGTATAACTCGTCCAAAGAGACCGACATCTGGTAGACCACGTCTTTGCCGCGTTTGGGACCCCTTTCCTGACCTCTGCGTCCGCCACCCATTCCGAAGAACATCTCGAAGATGTCCATCGGGGAGGAGAAGCCGTGACCACCACTGCCGCCCTCTTTGATGGCCTGTTCGCCTCCCTGGTCGTACACCCGGCGCTTGTCCTCATTGGACAGCACTTCGTAGGCCTGACTGATCAGTTTGAAGCGCTCGCCCTCATTGGGATTCTTATCAGGGTGATACTTCAGCGCCAACTTACGGTACGCCTTCTTCAGCTCATCGGCGGTGCACTTGGGGTTCACTCCGAGGATGTCGTAATACGCCGTCTCCTTCACCATCGCAACCAATTGTCGAGTAATCTCTTCGGGAGGTTAAGTCGATATGAATGTTGTGTGCGATCACTGTTTGGTCACTGTTTTGGTGACAATGTCTTGAGTGCGTGAATGAGACAATCAGTGATTCACTGGTTTTCAGTGCAATTCAGAGGCAATCGTGTAATGAGTGAAGGATTGGGTTTGCAATGCATTCACGCATTCACTCAATGCTCACAATATAATGCATACAACGATGCGTACGATTCCATTGCTTTCCAGAAACTTCCACTCAATTCACGTTTTCACACCAAACGTAGATAACGCTATCACTTAATACTCCCCAAACAACGAACGGGGAGGGGAGGGCACACATATACCTGACAAACGTTCAAACGATAAATTATCTCTCACAAGTACTACTTAGTTATTAACTGACAAAATGAACAATCAGTTTATTAAGTATGGTTGAAATCGTTCTTTTAATATAAATTAAATATTTATATTAAAATTGATTAATAAAATATAGTGTATATCACAGGAACTGCATTTTTTATAGCATGATAAGTATACACTGTACGGTATACTGTATACTATACAGTACATTACATGTTTAAACTAACTTTCTTGTTCTCATAATAAGGCAGATCATGAATAGATAAGAATTAAATTTAATAAATAGAGTAATAATTTTTTGAAAGATAAATAGCTTCTATGAGGAACTCGTGTCAAATAATTGTAAACACGTTAACAATCAATAATTTTGTAATGCTTTAATTGTAATGATTTGATGTCATAATTGAAATTCATCAATAATTATTTGTCTTTTTAGAAATACAGATAAAATATATAATTTACTAATTAAGTCTAAACAAGTTTATATATTTTTAAAGCCTTACATGAATTGAGATAAATTTATAATCTCAACTTCTTATTATTTATAAATACAGGGATAATAATGGGAAAAGTTTATAATCTAAACATCCTAGATGGTTGATTGTGAACAATTATCATATTAATGTTGATTGTATTACTAAATGTCTCACTTTTCCATCAAATATTGAATGTTTGAGTGAAATATGACTTGTTTTGTGAACTTAAGAATAAACCTTTCATTGAAGGGATGGGAGGGATGGCGTTGTATTGGATTCCCTGTCAGTCACTGAACCTAATAGCGAATGTTATGCAGAATACACTTCTCGGGCAGTCTACACTGCGGTAGACTCACAGCCAGACAAACAGTTGTTTGCTCAGCAACTCTGTTGACAACACCGCCACTTACGCTACCGTTTCTCACCAGACTTGAGTACGACCGGACAGTTGTGCGGATCAGATGCCACTCAACCGCACGAATGGCGCCTTTGGAGAATGCAGGCGAAGTATAGTAGCGAAGGGTCTGACACAAGCGGGTGTTATACGCCTTGGCAATTGGTGTTCTGTGGGCTAGCCTTCAGTACCCGCCGTTACTGTGGTAACCTAGTCAGCAATAACTGGTCCATCGATCAGATGGCAGTCTTAGATCCCGTGGACTTCTCGTACACCGAAGACATGGATGTCTACCGAGAAATAGACGACAAACTGATTGGTAAACAATTGGATGAAGAGAACGACCGCTTCTTCGCTCAGAAAGAGATAATTCCGTCGCCGAAGACCCCGAAGACGCCCGACAGAGTGGACCCGCGACTGAACCACAACTGGAGTCACGGGTTGTCTCAAGTGAATGAAGACAATGAGGAGAATGAGGAGAACGACGAGTCGATTAGTATGAGTGGAATGGAGTGGCAGTCGATTCAGTCGATCCACGGAACGCCTGAAGACCAGAGCCTTTCCAGCGATTGCTTCCAAACGCCAAACAATTGCTCGAAGTCTCGACAGAAGAAGAAGCTCTTCGTTAGAGACGATCACTATTTGATGGAAAGCATTGACAGCGCTTTCGAGACCCTCTCGGGTCAGAGCTGTATGTCTCCCATCTATTCACCCGATTGGAGGAATACATCGCTCTCTAAGCGTATCTCACATTTGAGTCCTATTTGTCCCTTAAAATCAAATTATATTGATTTGGACTTCAGTTTCGATATCGAAGACCA